GAACCACAATAGTATACTACCAAGATGTATATACATTGTCACACGAAGATTATCAACTATGGGATGTGATTATTTTAAATATTAAAATAATGTCTTATACTACATCACCGATAGTCATATTATGTGCTATGGTTTGAAATACCACAAATGACAAGGTTCCATTGTCTTCTGTGTGAAAAGAATGATTGGTAGCGCCAGGTGAGTAGATGGTTGTTTCCAATGCGACCTAATGTGTAGTAGGTCCAGTGGCAGAGCCATGCCGCAGGTTAGATAGGCCATCACAAGGAGCCAGAAGGTTAGGAGATATAGAAGGAATGGTTCTCGAATGCTAAGGAGGAAAGTGTTGATGGCATTAATAACTTTAGTGAACGCGCTGTTGACCACCTTTTGAAGTTGTTCGGCGAATTGAAAGCACTCCCTTTTCGTTCCAGTAGTGCTATTCAACGAGGTGGGACTATGATATGTGAAACCAAAGCGGTATAAAAGGGGGAGGACTGCAGCGCATTGGACGACAGTTCTACATGAGCATTTGATACCGGAGCCGTGACATTTGACAGCATTCGTACAATTCTTACAACCATATTCCTTACAATTGATGTTGTAGAATGCTTCTAGGAAGACCCTCATAGCACCTCTAAATTCCTCAGTCAAATACACAATCCATGACAAATAAACATTAACGAATTCTACGCAGGATAAATAATCTACGCTAGAACAAAGAGGTAAAAGGTATTTACCACAACTATGCTTCTCACATTCGTGAAGACTATGGAGGTCGCAAACATGGTCGATGGTATGCGAATTATCATTGCCGCTCAATTGTTCAACAAATGTGACAATGTCGCCGTTATGAGCGCCTGGATAACCATTGACTTCATTTTGCAGAGCCGTTTTCAGATTAGTACTTCCACCACTAATACCACTGGTAGTTTTAGTAACATAGGAAACCGAAGTAGTATATGCAGCTGCCAGACTACGAAAAAAGCCAAATAGACTACCTAATGTCCGAGGTGTCCTTGTGGTAACACATAACAGACACAATACAAGACTGTACAGACTGGGGTAGGCGACGTTGTCGTCCGTATAATATTCCAACATATAAAAGAGGTCGAAGCCATCACGCCTGGAATATTTAAGGTGTGACGCAAATCCCATTGGTACCGGACACCACTGAGAACGGTTAGACATATGATTGGCGTGCGAATTATATGGTAATGGTATGCTAGACGTTTTCGACTCCGGGTGTTCGCATTTGAAACCTTTTAGCTCATCACACAAAAAGGCTTGGAGGGGAGATGGTTTGCCGTTTTGTCCGCATAGATCGCTATGGGTCTTGCACCCTGTAGAACATTTATGTGGAGATGTTGATTGTGTAACATGCTGCGCTGCTGTAGTACATATCCATGAGTTAATCCCATCATATTTGATGCTACGCCCATACTTACAATCTTCCCATCCAGAACCCGTAGAAAAATTAGTTCTACATTTGAGTTTCACGAAATTGAGTTGTAATGTGAGAGTATATACCACATCCCATAACATACTAAACCACTCACTGGCATTGTCTGGGTAACAAAATCCAAACTCGGTATTTATGTATATGTCGTAAAGCAGCGTATTATTATGGGTTGCTGACCTATTATTACCATTTAATTGACTTTCCAGAGTCAGTAGAACGAACGCTGAATAAAAACAAGGTGGGAGTACGTACCATTTAGGACTAGAAAACTTAATGACATCATTATGTGTATTAGGCCCCCTGACAAATTGAATAGACTTGTCTTTTCCAGCGAAAAATGTATCCTTATTAAGACTAGCAAACACCGTGGTATAAGGTAGAGCCATTAACCAATACAACATTTCACGAATAGTACACGGTTTACCGTGGTGCGTTAAATAGCGCCTTCGTTGCAGCTTTCGGAAATAGTACTGTGATGCTAAGTATAGTTGAGATAGGGGGTACTGCTTAACATTGTTCTTAGAGCTCGCAAACAATTTCTGGAGATACGGTGAATAAAGACCCGCGACTTTAGCACCCTTGGTAAGGCTGAATTCATGGAAAGCTGTTGATCCATCAAGAAATCCTTTGACCTGTGTACCCGAACATGATGCAAGCTGATCTTTGCTATATCCCATGGAGACCATAAATACACCGAGGGCACTATCGGTGTTGTTTATTTTCTGCGTGGTCCACCTCGGATCTGCTCTTTGCTCCCATGCCCCGGTCGGCCCCCGGTTTACCCATGCCGTCTTACCATTCTTTTTATCACTCTTATTACATTGCCAATAAAGATAACTGAGAGCAGAAAATATTAGGGGGATGCAGCCAAGAAATATTTTGGCGTAGAGTTGTTTATTAGTTTCATTCCATTTGACAGAATCTGGATTATATGATGACGAATAACCTTGAGCAGCAATACCAGTCTTTCCGTCAGTCTTACCATTCTTATAACCAACGAAACTCGCCAACTTATCTGCCAATTGTTTGATCAAATTATCAGGACCAGCGATGCTAGAATCCTTTCCCAATTCCCTTATGACTTCTGCAAGAACACTCTTATCACCGGCGCCAAGTTCCACCTCGAATATTTTTTTTACAGCCGTGGCCAACTCCTTAGTGCCATCTGAAAACGTTGAAATAAGCTAACTCAATGTCGCCTACCGCTACCAGTCTTGGCGAGACTACCCTGATCTGTAGAAACATTCTTTAGTTTGGATTAATTAACATACCACACCTTCCTGTCACTTGCAATATCCAATCTATTGCCTCTTTCAGATTTGTTGGAGATTGACTTACACTCTTGGCCATTTTGTAAAAGAGCCGCATATAAAAAAACTAGACTTTTGAGTATACAACACTATCATATCTAGACTCCACAAAGTGTTGTATCAGATGAGTTCAAAAAGACATGAGCGCATACCAAGGGACTTCAATTCAGTTGCAATGATACACTTCGGTCAAAGAGCGGTAACAACGCTTCAGCAGACATCACGTTAGAACTTAAAAAGAGTCCCCACCTCGATGGAGTGCGTGGTACCAGATATAGAAGCGTAGGCCTCGCCCTTAATGGTGTTAGCCGTAACACCAGAACGGTTACGCAACCATTCTACCCCTGATGAATTGTGTGGCGTATATATGGGGTAAATAGATGGCTATTACAAGGTTCACCATGGCAGCCAAGTAGGAACTTGGTGTACATTCGTATGAAGTAACCCAGTTTTACTCTGAGGTAGCCACACATAGTCTTGTAATCCCAGCAATTTTACTGCTGTTAATGTGGATCTGCGTTGAAGACAAATTTGTATTCAAACATGGAGCAATATCAATACCTTGTCATGAACACGCGAAGTGCAATAAAATCAGCCTTTTCTAGTCAGCCACCGTAAGAACTAATGTTACAACCCTCCTCAACCTGACGTAGAGGCATCACAGAAGTAACACACGAAACACGTTAAAAACATAACCTTAGGACGTGCTTCACCGATTTCTGGTTGCGGTTCAACTTTGGGTTCCCCGTTGACGTACCCACTATCAAACTGCCTCTTGAAATAACACATGCGATTGAGGCTTAATATCCATTAAAACGTAGAGGGTAAGTCAGCGCTGCCCGTATTTTGGTGCTGTAGTATTGTATTTCAAAACGTACCAGATCAACTAAGGTTAAGCAAACACTACACTATTAGCATCGTCATTGTTTGAAAGGTTGACGTTGATAAAACATTCGACACTCTCCGAGAAAGATGCAGATTCCATGGGTTATGATGCTCACTGAGTCTCGAACCGCATGCCTCGGTTAACACTGCTTAAGAGGATGCCAAAATAGACGACACGGAACGCCGTAGGTAGCCCCGTTCACCAGCTAAATATAGAGATCAAAGCTCTCCCTGAAGCAATGTAACACGTTACTACCGGATCCACTAAAAACTTTAGACAAACAAAAAGCCAGCTAGTTACTACTTATTCACACAACGACTACTACAAAGCCGGCTACTTGAAGAAATCTTACGGCCCCCGAATTTAAAAAGTAAAGATTTCTCGCAATACAGGTCTAAATGATAGCCCCAAAGTTTCGAATGATTTTGATATTTCTTGCATCTCTTGCTTCATTTCAGCAATATGCCCCGGTACGAGTTGTGATCTACGTTCCTTCTGTATTGCAAGCCTAAGGATGTTTAGGCACCGCAAAATAATCCTCCTCATGTGAGATGTTAGGTTGGTACCCGCCGAGCCAAACACTACCTTGTAGCACAGAAGAATGGAGTGCAACGTGGTTTTAAAGGTAAGCATCAATTCATGAATCCCCCTGCTATAGTTTCAGTTTAACAAAGACTCCTCTTACCTTTGTCTGTTCTCACTTAACAACATCTGCACGGTATTTAGACGTTCTGCAATGTATTTTTTGCGATTATTTATGAAACCGGAGGCAATCTCTTCATCCGTTGACATCCCAAGCATCCTAATTTCTGCGAATGTCTTCAGTGTCACATTGATGTTGTTGTTGAATGATTTATATAGTTCCTGCTCCAGATTCTTCTTTACAATTGCTACTTTATCTTTCAAAATCTGAATCACCGCGCTTTTCTTCACTTCGGAGATATCATTCAGTAGTACTTCGTAAGCAATCAATAACGGGATCTTTTCTCTGTCGTTAACTTGTTCTATTTGATGACATAGGTCGGCCATAGAATTCAAGGTATCATCGTCACACATAGCCTCATCACCCAAATGGAATGATGTTAACATATATCCACTGTTTGTCACATTGCCCTAACAAAAGTATTAATCCGCTATATACAACTTACTCCATGGTATGAGGTGACCTTACGCGATAGGTTTTGTATTTCTAAAGCCGATATTGCCATAGATTCAACCTAATAACCATGGAACTAAAAATATGTTCTATTACCTCGTCTACTACGTCCGATATTCCCCGAATGTCCATCATTACCGATGGCGTAGCGTCATCAACGAGCTTGTGCAGCTCTACACGCGCGTTTTGATCCTCACCGTTGAGTTCCTTCTGTAATCTCATGATGTGCTGTCACTCGTCACTTACCACCTCCGCCTTTATTTCCCCGTAGTCCTTGAACAGTAGCTCCCATAAGTAGAAAGATATGTGCCGGACTTCGGGCTCACTTTGCGACAGGGAGACATCCCTGCCAATGACCATTGCATACAAAGTCTGAATATCCTCCATATTATTCCGGTCCCAGAGTTAATGGGACTAAAAGGCGGTCACAGGAATGTTCGAGCCACCGCGTAACTCCCCACTCCTGGTGTATACGTTTTCAGCGGAGTGCAATAGACGAGCGTGTCAGACAGGAGGATTACATTTATAACGCGGGATAGGTGTGTGTATACACGGCTTACCATGTCGAATATTGTGGACAAGGAGCATAACGCGACGTCTCGTTCTGCGATTGGCGACTCTTCGAAAACTGTGCAGCCTCGGGAGCCCCGAAAGGGTGAGAATTAATTTACACATATAATGGAATTACAATTGCATTAGGAGCGACGATCTCTTTCTTCCGGCGCCCTTCTATATTGCACAGCGCAATATATGGCACCGTTACAGGTACAACTTCATTGTTTTTATTATAATCACTTACTAGGATTGGTGTTTTACGGCGGATACTTTGTATACCGCGCTTTGAAGCTCGAAAATTGCAACACGGAATACTATGCTAGGCAGAGCCGTTGGCGCCATTTTGAGAAGCAGCAGTTGTTTCAACGGGAGCTTAGTCAAAACATGAATGCCCATTTCGTTGCTCACCTCTCCCAGGAATACGATCCGGTGGCAGTTCGTAGGCCTGGCGCTCCACTGTAAGCCTACCAATGGTAAAATCTAATTCGTGCTCAGTGATCCCAAACAAATATTCTGAATCACAACGGTGAATCGACTATTGGAAATCACACCAATGCACAATAAACAATCGCACATGGCATTGCAGGCACCTCTCATTCGGCGTACCATGCTTGTCATTTGAAAGGTAACATCGCCACGCAATCGTTAATGTTTCTTATTCTGACCTCTCTCTCTCTCTCTCTCTCTCTCTCTCTCTAGATACGTATTGATACATTGTCAGGTTCGTTTGACAGTCTCACAATATGAAACTTTTACAAAAATTTATTACGATTTGTGTATCATTTTTGTTTTCCCTATAGAGCTGTATGAGCCGGTGCAATAGGCTCCCGGCCCGAGACCTGGAAGCAGTCATCACTGCCCTTATGACTGCAGAAGAGAATTTACTTGCCTAGCAGTGTGCCAAGCATAATTCTCATGTTCCACATGGAATGTATTGCGATGCTGATGAAAACATTGTTGGTACCCTGTTCAATCAACGACCAGAGGACCCCCAACGAAAATAGCTGTAATACACTTCGGTGATTCATGTGATGTACGGAAAATATGAGCGCCGCCAAGCATGTGGCAATTTTCCTTGGAAGTTTAATATTGAGCGATTTGAAGACGAAGATACGATAAAGCATTTCTTCCCACCAGGGTGCCGTGATGCAAGGACCCACGGCTGCGATAATGGAGGGAATGAGTTCTGCAGGTTCTATCAACACGTTTTCCATTAGCTCGGTACTATCCTCAGCGAATTCAGGATCCAAAGTCTTTCTTATCGCTTCTGCCGCATTGAATATAATATCGGTAATGCTGTATAGTGCACAGGAAACGTAATAACCTGCAACTGCTTTGTAGACCCAGAGCTCTTTCGCGTCAGCTGTGAACCATGAGGATTTTGTTTGCTTTAGAGGCACCACATAGTTTAATATTTTGGCACCGATTACCACCCAACTCAAGTGACTTAGCAGTATTCTCATCGACCGCTGCAGCGCTACACTGATTGGCCAGTCCATTGCAGAAAATAGCAACATAGCATTATCCACTGCTTCCGCTGCATACCCAGATAAATAGAAGCTTCCTAAAAGACCCGTGGCTATGAGAGGAATAATCAATTTTTCTTTTGCGCTAACAGCCACTTGATTTTCGGGAGGATTAAGGGAATTCCTTAACACGTAATACGATCCTATTGATACAATGGTGTCCAAACCTATGTCTACACCGAATCCAGACGTTATTGGAATCAGCTGGTATGGTGAAAGTATATGGAATCCAGGCAGGGCGAAGGCATAAATCCATTTACCGAGAATGGCCAACATAATTTGTTCTGCAGTCGAAAGGTTGACCAATTTTTGCTTTACCTTGTAGATACAGCATTGTGCCTTCTGACACCATTTATTTCTAATTAACTTGTAACGTAACCGGCGGACACAATCGTTGACATTTTTTGCCAGTGTCTTTGCACGGTCTTCCAACCCATGAAATAAATTACCTGCACCAGCGCAGAGAGATAAATGGCCTGCGCACCTCTTATTGTTGACACTCAAAGTGGTACAATGTGCGGAATTCCTTCCATGACGTCCATTTACCTTGGAATCAGCTGACACCAAACCACTGGCAATAAATGTGCGCTCATATTTCGGCAAGACTTTGAGATGTCTGTGAGCACTTAATACCGTCCCATTTGTAATTCTAGCGGTTTTAATTCCGTAGGAATCCGCTACAAGCCTGCAAAGAACGAATAAAACCACGCACATACACTGCCATGTTGATGTAGGCAGCATGATTCCTTTACTTGAGATGTAGAGCCGGCTTGTCTTTTCATGTATATTACCATTTACATACAAGATGCATTATCACTTCCGTATTTCATAGCTATATTAGAAGCCACGGAAGGTTGACATTTACTGTCGTGTGTTACACCCACCATTAGGGGAATCATTATCCATTATTTGCGGGTGATGAGCACGATTTATTTAATACAACTAACAAATTTAATTATTACCTTATCAATTTACTAGCTTTGTCAATATTGTTACTATGTGTAGGTTGTTATGCCAGTAACATACCTGGTTACTACCATGGATGAACCCTATGAGTTCAAATACGCGTATAATCATTTGATTTTTGAGTCATCCAAGTTCAGCAGTGTGGGTGACTCGGTAGAAGATGTACAGCTGTTTTTTGGTGGGTTCGAATGCCAAGGCATACATCAGTACTCTCTAGAACGTTTTATAAAGACACTAAAAGAGATTCTTGGCGCCGATGTGAGTTCTGTATCGGAAAATGTGACATCTACATCACACTTTTCAAATCTGGTAGCAACGTTTATTTGCCGTGTCTTCCCTCCACACAGCCCCTTTGTCATATATAATGAAGTTCATGAAAGTTCACGATTACGGCCTCTTCTACACGATGCAACAAGGTAACATCATGCTTTAGCATTCTTAATGAAGTGTTAGAAACCTCCTCAGTGTCATCGACAGGTTGACGGATCTCCCCAATGCATCAGCACTTGGGTGTGTTATGCTTTTTCACATCAATCACATCGCAGCTTGGACGACCCGAAGTTTATGATGAATGTTCTCAATTTATATTGGCGGAACAACAAATCTATTTGCGGTCGCTTGGTATCGTCTATACAATCACGGAATCAGCATTATCTTCGTGAAGTGGCAGAGTTGGTGAATCCACTCTTGGAGGTAATTTGCTTCAAGTTACAACCATTAACACTTCAGAACATACAACAAGAATACGAATATATACATTTTATTATCTCCGGCATTAAACAAGGAAGGAAGGTCGACACCGTCAGGACTTTTGAGAGCAAAGGTGTGATAACATGTCGTAGTGATCTGCCGGACAATTTCGATCGCAACAGTTTGTTTGTTAGTGCAGATACAGTGCTTTTGGATCTGTTGGCCCATTTAGAGACGTTGTTTCAATTTGTGTCAGAGGAAGAGTATGATTACGTGCTTTCTGCCACCGTTTCTACGGCTGAAGGTGAATGTCAACTTTCCTCTGTTTTGACCAACATGTATTATTTAATGGCTCAAGCACACCAGCACATGCAATCTAAACAAATACCGCTTTACAAAATGCAGGTAGATTGGCCCTTTTTCCGTGGCATCGAAATTGCAGTTGTTTTCGGATAGCTACGCAGCTATGTTCCAGCGGTGTTTGTTCTACCGCTGCAAGATGTTCGCGTTGGGATGTCTACTTGCCGTAGTCAAATACAATGTGGTACTGAGTCCGGCGGACTCTGCGGATTACTGTTACAACTGGTTGTTGGTTCTGTTAGAGGTATGTTTCCCCCTTGTGGCACACATGTTTCAGATCGGAGGGGAAGAATATGATGTAAACCGCTCTACGATTTTGGAAGATTTGCGCGATATAGATTTTCTTGATCATGTGGATGAATGGCATTCCATCGGAGGCACCTGGTATGTATGCATCTGACAACAAACCATACTATTCAGGCTCCCTGCTGAGTTAGAGCAATTTAAAACAATGGTAACAAGTGCTGCTACTACTCTGGTAAGTTAGGCGTTCAGGAGTAAACATGTCTTTTCAGCCCGGTGCAAACACGGAAGAGATACAGTTAGTTGCAATGACGCCTGTTCACACTGTTTTCAGGCTAATTAAGGATATCTCCGGAATAACCGATGATAGCGTCATAAGGGAGTGCCTTGAAAAACACGGCTTTGATGTCTCTGAAACGATAATAGATTTGGTAAACAGGTCAGGTGCGTTGATTTTCATGGCGGGACATATGTTTAGCAGCGAAAGAGGCGTCAGTTGCCCCCGTTATTCAGACCCGCAAACACACTGTTGCAAATACAAGCATGTCTTTGCACTTCCTGTCCAAAGAGACAAAACAAGCTGTTTTAAACTACTGGTAAGTGTTGTTCTCCCCGATCCAATGATACATAGGGATTACGTTAATCGTCCGGAAGTGTACGACGACGATTACGATGACAATGATATTATCGAGGACGGCATAATGCCTTTAAACGCCAAAATTATATATGATGAAGTTATGAAGTCAGATTCTGATGTTTCTGAGGGTGGAGACGGAGTCCAAATATCACAGAAAACGAGCAGTGAGAATGCTGTTGCACCTCCGGGGATCACCAACAATAACAGCGATCGCACCGCGACACGGCGCAACGAACGAGGTGGCTCGAGCTCAAGAGGAAACCGAGGCCACAGAAAGTATAACCGGAAGCGCAATACAATAAATATGGATGCTTTCGGTTAAGCTGTTACCGAAACAAGGCTGAATGCGGCCTTAATCGTAGAGTATTCTTACATGTCCACTGGACACCGGTCTACGTGAATATGAAAGTACCTGATCCGTGTTGCAGGTAAATTATCGTAATATACCATCTGTGTTATTTGCAGCCTGATATAGCATGTACGGTAAATACATAAAGATATTTACGTTGTCTATGTATACATAATCGGGCATCTACCGTCGTTTCAATAAATTGTTTTAATACCCTTAGAGTTCATCTTTCCACGTCATAGTTTTTGTGAAGCGCGCACGGCCGCTTAGATGTAATATCTTCGTGTTAATGCCACTTTTTTTACGCAACTCCTCACGCTATCTACGGCCCTACCGTACTAGTAATAGACACACAATACTATACACAGTAACATTAAATAATTATTGCCCGTCTGACTAACGAATCTATATTTGCAACAGCCCCAAATTTGTCTATGGCCCGATTACTGAGTACCCCTCGACGCCATAACACACCTTCCGACGGCAGAATCCATACACACCTTTACGGGATGCCATTCAAAACACTAAATAATGAAAATGGAAGGAAAACGTTTTTCTAGTCAACATTTCGTGAGTCCTCTGGACACCCGTTACCTTGGATCGTCTTCCGATGTTGCAACGCACTTGTCTGAATACGCATTATCACGGAACCGTGTCATTGTTGAAGTGTCTTGGTTGCGATTCATGGTATCTGCGGGTGTCACGGAGGTGTCTAGTCTGGAACCGTCTGCGGAAGGTATCCCCTGTGTGTTGTCTTCTCACTCATTTTTCAGCATTCTTGTCTGAACTTTGCCGATTCCCACCAGAGGATATGGATTTGATTATTACCATCGACGGTCGTGTCAACCATGATGTGAAGGCAACGGAATATTACATTCGCGTAGGTGTCTATGTCGCACGTCATATGGCGCTTTAGGATAAGCTGAAGACGAGTGGCATACCACAATTGGTATCTCTAGAGCCCTGGGTGCACATGTTTTGCACTAGCGAAGACATTAACAGTCCAGCTTATTCTATAGGCATTCGCGATTGCATGGAACATGTTATCAAACCAACGCTATTACGCATTATAGATTCATTAGCTAAGCTTTCCGTTGAGGTAAGAGAGTGACATCATCGGTGTTAAGATCAGTACAGAATGCAAGCAAACCTATGTTGTCACGTACACATGGCCAGCCTGCTTCCCCAACGACGATTGGCAAAGAGATTGCAGTTTATGTAAGCCGTCTATCCCGTCAGTGCAAAAAGTATTTGACTAAGGTATGGTGTATTTGTAGTCCACCTATGAAATACAGATCGATTACATGGCAAAATTTGGAGGTGCTGTCGGTAACTTCAATGCGCACAAGGTGGCGTTTCCGGAGAAGGATTGGCCGTCACTTGCTAAAGAGTTCATTGAAGTATGTGACTAACCTGCACGTACCATAATGATTTTCAGAACAAATTGAATTTGACCTACCAAGAATATTCCACCCAGATTGAATGCCACGACTTCATTTCTGAGTTGTCCGATAATCTTGCTCGTGTAAACACTATATTGAAGGACCTGTGTGTTGACATGTGGCTTTACATTTCCCAGTGAGTGACATTTCCACAGGCATAGACATCTTTTGCAGTGATCTCATTAAACTGAAGAGTGTTCAGGGAGAAGTTGGCAGTAGTACCATGCCACATAAGATAAACCCTATAGACTGGGAGAATGCTGAAGGCAACTTCGGTGTCGCTAATGCTCTTTTCCATTTCTTTAGCTCCAAGCTGCCGAATAGTCGTATGCAGCGTGACTTGTCAGATTCTACCGTTTTGCGCAACCTCGGTGTTGCGTTTTCCCATTCCTACTTGGGTTACCTGAGCATATTGAAGGCCCTGTCTAGGGTGTCGGTCAACGAAGAGAAGGCTCTAAAAGAGTTAGATGAGAATTGGGTGGTTTTGTCAGAGCCTTTGCAAATACACTTGAGGCTGAGTGGCGTCTCCACTGGCTATGAGGAGGTCCTTAGTTTGACTCGCACTGGAGGCTTGTCGTCAGATGAAATGAAGAAGATAATATCCGACACCTGCAATGACAATTCCCATATCAAGGCTTTGACCCCTTGCACATACACAGGTTACGCAGAATCTCTCGCTTTGAATGTGAAGAACTGCTCTCCAGGAGGCGAGAACCACGCGAATTCGAAATAGGACTTCCGGCACCAAGTATGTAGTCCAACATATTTCCACAAGTTCACCAATGTAGAATACACAACTATACTCTAATATGTGCACTATAGACCTCAGGCCGTCTCTGAAATAGGCACAAAACAGTTCTTTTTCGGTAAAGCATTAAAATGTCAAATAGAGGTTAATAGTAGATAAAGCAGGTTAAAAACATGGCAGTACATGTAGATTTATCTCTTTCGCCACTTTCTCAACGATCGTGCACCTGTTCTTCCCGGCATCTTTGGCATTTTTTGTCTAATGTCCTCGTATAAAGCAGCTGTGTATCGGTCATTGCGGAGAGCATATAGACTTACATTCGAGGGCATACTTGACTGATGGGTTTGCGGCGACTATAGCACGTGCCAGAGCAAGTCTGGTAGATCTGGATTGCCCGGTGATACCCCCTCCTCTGGTTTCGATAAAAAGGTCGTATATTCCGCAGCAACCAGCAAGATAAAACGGTTCCAATACATCCATCCTGCAAAGATTTAGGGTTATTTGGCGTACTAATACCTATTGTAAAATATTGGCCATCTTTTGTATAAGTCTTCCTCTCCGTTTACCTTGATCACTCCGCTTCCACGTTTTATTATTACATGCGTTGTAGACCGCATACATGTTCCAAATCCTTGCGCTCTTGCGTTCCATCGGCTACCCTTGAACCAAAACAGCTGAATACTTGTATATCAAGTTGAATTTCACTTACGTCATTTGCAGCGGGCTTCGTTTTTTCTGCGATGATATGATCGATGCGTGACACTTCTGGTAGCTGTTGCGATGTGGTTAAGTGCTCTTCATCCCTGGTTAGCCCCCTTTTATCGTTAATCTCAGTGTCGAACGTCTGATATTTCCGTTTTTCGTTAAAGAAGTTTGAGATGAGAAACGGCGTCTTGTCCTGCACACCTCTATTCTTTTGTGTGTCGTACTAACGGCTGAGAAGGACGGTGAAGAGACTATAAGTTTCTGTATTTCGCGTTTTGTTGCGATCCCCGCTTCCTTGGCAAGGTACAACGCCTGTGTGTCGATTTTTTTGGAAGGAGATAGCCTAAGCTTACCTCGTCTATAGACAGTGCTTTGTTGGTTTTGTTTGCAGCAGATGTGAGCGGTCGTGCGATTCGTATCATGTTTTAAAGCTTTACGCCTCCCTATACGGGGAACGCGACCTTAATACAACGGTATTTTGCGTGCTAGGGGTTGAGAAATAATTGACTATTATGTTCAAATAACACAAAAAATAGGAATTTTGATACAAAGCACCTTTTCAGGCGCATTTACTAAAGGGTGCGGCTATCGGTCCGACAACGGGTATTTCTTGACACTTGTCGGATATGTTTCTGTTCGTTGCCACACGAGTTGTGCTGCTGAGATTGAAGGTATTTGTGGCGGTAACAGGGGTGGTACATCTTGTTGCCTTGTCCTTTAGGGCTCTGGCGATTGACTCAAATGCCTATTGTTTGGTGATCTCATCTTAATGTGTATATACCTTTTCTACATTTTGGGCCGTTTTCGCTGAAGCTTCAATGTAATCCATGCTGTTTTGATCTGCGAATTCGCGTGCTTCGTCACATGTGACTGCACGTGAGTCCTCCAAGTCTACCTTGTTTCCAATAAGGAGCTTTGAGATGTTTGCGCTGGAGTACCTATACGTGTAATGTGGAGGGCTTAGACACACGTAACACGGGCAGTAGTGTATGCCAGATGGCCTTTGGCAGTTTTACTTGAGCATTAAGAGCTCATCTACTTTTAACACTCTTTGTAGAGTATACATTTCTGTAAAGTAAACGTACTTTTCGATATCGGCAAGCCACGTCTTTTTCACACTCTCGAAAGAAACACGGCTTGTAACATCGTATACGGTGATAATGCCGTGAGCTCCTCTGTAGTACGTTGAAGTAATCGTCCTGAATCTCTCCTGTCCTGCGGTGTCCCACTGCACCTACTTAATTGGCCATCTGTCGAACCTACGATTTGCAATTTGATGGTGGCATTGTCGATTTTGACCGTCTTGATTTTAAAATCTACCCCAATGGTACTCATGTACGATTCGCTGTATGTGTCGTCCTACGTCATAATTCGTCGATGTGTATTGCGACTCACAGCAAAGCGAAGCAGTAGGGACGATTTCCCCGCGCCACTATCGCCAATAATGATGATTTTGAACAAATAATCATACTCCTTCATCTTAGAAAGCACAAATTAGTTTGTGACACTGTGTCATCTTGCACTGTAGGGGAAGACTACCTCACTATTGTGTCGGCGGCACGCTTATAAGCCAAATGTCGACCGAGGATAAGCAATTATTCCAAGCAATGGTAAAAAAATGATGTTGGACTATGGCTTCCGAGCATGAACGCGGGGTCGCGGTCCCTTCGGGGAGTCGATGGTCGGGGCGGGGTGTCGCGGCCCCCTTCGGCATGTGCCGACGAAAATCGTGATCCTTCCGGCTCTACACGACCTATAGAGTGCCGCGATATCGAATACTTGCTGGATTTAACACCCGTTAATGCCCTATTGCGTTCGCATTCTAGGGTGGGTCCCATTTAGCCCTTCTCTAATAGTCTATATTATTGCTTTAGATTCTGACAGTAGACGCTACAGTACCTTTGTATGTGTGCTTACAGGCTATGGCCGAGTATGGTTAGTTGTCACTGCACTTTTACAATTCTATTAGAGCAGGACTTTGCGCTCGTGTACGACCCGTATTCGCAGGACTTCGTCGGATGCTTTGATGAGTACATGTTTCTCCATTTATTACGTTCGGGAGATTTCAAGTGTTTGAGTAGTCGGTGTGGTGACTATATAAAGGCCAATCGCATTTCTACTTTATGCACAGTGCCGGAAGATTGCTCTGCGAAGGATGCGCTACCTCTCGTGCTTAGCCAACGGTTCGTGTTTTTACTCAACTGTATGCATTGTCTAGCTGTCGACATATTGTTGTTACGTTGCAGGATTTGCGATATGTTTGAATATCATTAACGTTTCACAATTTGTTATGGGTATGATATGATTGGCACTCGGGCCTGCGCCAAGTGCTTTGGTATTTTAATCTCCCACTGTTATTCGCTGTCTACCCTCGTGTCTTCTGTTGGTACATGATTATGGCTATTAATGAGGCCTAATCTTCATTTGTATGCAGTTCAAGGCGTGTGTTTGTGTGGTCTACAAAAAGGGATGGCCCTATGGGTTGTGTGACTGCAAGGTGCTACCTTGGCTACATAACCAAGCACCTCCGCGGTTGCCATCGTCATAGGAAGGTGAATGTCGATGATATTCGTTCGACTGTGGACTACGTCACGGTTTCTGATGATACCACGCTCCGCGAGGTTTGTCCTATCCTCAGTCATTTATAGTTTTTAGCTTACGGGTTTTTTATTAGAGCAAGAGGAGTTGCTACTGCACGATTCTGATGGTGATAATTCGCTTAATCGTTTAACGTATCTCAGGGATCACAGTATATATTTTAAATCGCAAAATCATTTTACATTATATTTTATCATTGTTACACAAAAAGGTAGGATTTCCGCATCTGTTGATTGTTAACCCTTTCAGGAAATAGTAAGATTGTCCACGGTATTAAGGTTTGTTTTGGATTACTTTCGTTCACTCCCCAATCCTCGGCCTCTTCTCCCCGTGGTAGTTTCCTTTTTAACCTAAACTAAAATTTTCAGGTGGGGAACAGTTCGCCGTTGATTGAAGTTTTACCCATTATGTTATCGTCTGCCGATGGTGTGGTTTTGGGTGTTGACCGTGAGAAGGGTCGTCAACGTGTGCTGAGTGTTTGGGATGTGTTGCAACATATGTTGTACCATTTGGTTTGAACATCATCTGCTGAATAATGTTTTTGATTTAAAATGCGATGATACTATTAGCGTTTTATTTTCTAATTGTGTATTGCATCTCTGCTCTGTGTTCCGGTGTCCGCGACGTTAAGGTGGAGGAGAGTGATCACCGCGCCAAGTCGTCCGTAGTTCGCGGCGGTGTGACGATTCCTGTTCTAACAATTGCACGAGATGAATCTGAGAGATCGCTAATCCAGTTTGAGGGTTCTTCCGCTTACACTCTCGGTGTAGATTCTCTGGGCAACCTTGCGATAAGTGCTGGTGACCAGCCGATGCTTATTATGAATAATGAGCATAACATCTCAATTCACATGCGGAATCTTTCCGTACGGTTCGTTTTATGGCTTATGTGTGTGATGTGTTGCAGTTCCATTGATTTCGGCGGTGACCTAGTAGTCGAGGGTGTGTCGCAATTTAAGATGATCTGGCGTGAGGATTTCGTTGATTCCGGCGGCTGGAGTGGTACAGGTAAGGCGTATATTATGCTGTCTACATAATATTTGTATAGTGGACAAAGTTGATGTTTCCAAATGTGCTGGTATACCGATGCTTGGCGGTTTCAAGAATTTCGGCAGGGTACGTTCATTCCCCTTTTTATCATATTTGAAATAGGGTTCGGTACAGAAGACCTTCATTGAGCTGCCAGTCCACCGTGAATTGCGCCTCAAAGCTACATTCCATTTTCTGGATCAATGGGTGAGATGCTAATCACATGCCATTTTCATAAGTTACAGTCTGGTGAGAGCGGATACATGAAGATCAATCCGTCTTCTTCTGCACCACTGGAATACATTTGGACCGACTCTCACGTCCAGGGCATCAGTTCAGGTATAAACATCTGCGGTGGTGTGTTGTGTTACATTTTTGCTTGATTAGTATTAGGTGACACCCCGGATTCGAAGTTCGCTGTACCAATAGATGTGACAATACCACACAGTGCCGAGCGTTTTACTGTGGGTAGGTGCCTTAGTGTTGTTGGCAAACAATATGTACAGAATTCGGCAGTACGCTGGAAGGCGATCCTGTTCAGAAGTCATGGGGTATTTCAGGGCTCGAAATTCACGTTCGCTGAGCTAACAGCAACGAAACCCTGTGCCAGCAAGCACGTGTGACCAACTTAGACCACAATATTTCAATATTTAAACATATACAACCTATCGCCAACTCAAGGGTTAGGAATCTATCGTGATAAGTTTTTAAAATCACAGAGTTCATCAAGAGGTTATAATCCACTGTTAATCATCCTTGAGGTGGACGATTTCCTCCTGATGTATCGCTCTAAGCAAATTACAGCAACGTTCCTCGTTGCTGTATGACAACCTCATCATGCGATTGGTAATATTGATGCAGATTTTCACTGCGTAGATAGTTGAGGGTGTATTTCAGTTAAGGGGTTCAATCCTAAATTTCTTTGTGCCGGCTCTAAGTCTGCTTCCGATGTTTTCGCCTGAGGCCTATGTTGGCCGTAAAGTCAACTTACCCTCTAATATAAGGCAGACCCTTCCCATATTTTGCGGCGTAGTATACTCGACCCTCTGCACATTATGTAATATTATGGTTAGGCTTAAGTACCTTCCATGCCTCTGCCATTGCTGAAGCCAGAATGGCTACAAGGGTGATAGATGTTGCATTTGTCGTGGCTTCGTCCTTTCCTGGGACATTTCTTAGAACCACCATTGCCTCTTTTTGTGACAGTTCCATGAGAACGCGGCGTGCTGCGACATCCTATATTACCCTAGCATCTCTCTTACCTATTCTGCGCATCGCCGAAAGGTTTACCATTTCCTTAACATCAACCGTAATGTTCCCTATTGCTACAAAAGTTGTGTATCACATGTGCCATATCATCTCTACTTACTCGGTATCTCTTCCATGAAAGCTATCCACATATTTTCCTTCATTAATGTCATAATTCGTATTCTTTGTCTCATACCTCCCTGCTCCATGTTGACACATCCAGTTCCATTGTATTTGCCGGACTGAATTCTAGCAACACTTGCAACGTCGATATCGCGGTACCGATCTGTTCGTAATGTCCAAATGTACGACTCGGTTTACCTGGCAGCTGAATAGCCATGGTGGCGAGAGCGCCGACTCTTCTTCGAGAGTGTGTATGAATTCTGCATTGTATTTTACGCATTATTGGAATGCGTTAACTAACCCGGCGGTCTGAATTCTTTGGCGTCTTTCGCGGCGCCTTCTTGCGTGCCGGCTATATGTTGCTCGAGGTTGATGATTCTGCGTTCAAGCCTTAGATTTTCTAAATATTAATTGCCATGTTTTTTAATATTAAATATTACCTCTTTCGAGGTGTTGTAAATTTTCGTTCAGTTCCTTGACAATAGTGAGCAATGGATCATATTTTGATACTACGAACGCTTCTAGGTCCGCGCATCCCTGTTTGCGTTCTTGTGCCATATTGATTCATTGATTTTGGTTGCGTATTTCCTCTTTAAGTTGTTTGATGTCGTATACGAACATATCTTTCAATATTGGGTCGGGGAACTGTATGGCAACTGAGTCTGTGAAGTTGGCCGCGTTAAGGACTATGGTATTTTCGAGTTTGATATCTTTGTCGGCTTCTATATGTTTTTCAAACTCTTCCTTTATGATTTCTGGGTTTGATACTAGTCTACTGATAAGTTTGATTGGGAAGAATCTGTTGATGTCGTTTCTTGTCATGTATATAACCTGCAGTTCGTAGTCGATTGTTATGACAACCAAAGTGGGATTTACTCTCATTTTGGTGTAGAACAGTGTCGGTACACCCTTATTTTTGAAAATGTCCGGGTTTTGCGGGTCTGTTAGCATTGAGGAATCCAATTGGTTGAGTTTTTCTGTCATGGCATTTTGCTTCTCTTGTCCATCGGTCATTTGTGCCTGTTCACCTGTTCCTTCGGATGCGTCAACGTTTTGTGCGTCCTTTTGGTCACCTGCTTTTTCTTCGTCAACGTCTAGCTGTTCTTGCATATCGTCATGTGAACGTCCTACTGCCACGTCTACCCTGTCTGCCTCGAATGTTGTCTGCACTGCTGCATCTCTTAGGCTTTCAGCGCACCGTTTGCTGTATACTTGATAGAATAGGTGTAGATCGTCCGCGCCAGTCAGTTCTTCCAATTTAACGGAGCAGGCGTCCGTGTAAATTTCCGAGTTTGGCTTGAGTTTAGCGTAGTCATCATCGTTGACAAAGCATGTGTTTTCACAGCATGCTTTAATGTCGTCAAAGATGTGTTCGCCTATATCAATATCCTTTAGGAAGTCCGGGGCATCGCTTCTTCCAACTCTTCTGTAATGTCCTTGCGGCAGTTTAATCATTCGGGCTACAGGCCCGTTATTATCGGTTGTCATTTTGACTTAGCGGAACAAAAGAAAAGTGAGTGACGTTGTGCGTTAGCATGTCGCGACCCTGCGAATGTGCAGGTTGTTGCAGGATCACGCTGACACATTGAAATTTGCTCTTATAGGTTTACAACTGTTTTGCTATGTTGTTACATGTCATGACATTTTCTGTTTGCAGTTGTACCAGCAAACACACAAACGAGATGGCAACATGACTTCCATCAGTGTTACTTGTCATTGTCGCGTTATAAAACGCAAATGCGTTACATTTCCACTACGCATTCAAGACCTACAACTGAATGCTTGACATTTACGTTACTCACGACATCACGTCGCCACCCCATGGTACTCGCATTCCGTTTATCATGTAATTATGCCATTTTAAAATGATGGGAGGTACCAGCACTATAACACTAAGGGCCTTTATTACCATCTGTTTACTCTGTGTATACGTTGTGTACGTACCGTCGCATTGTTCCGTTGTCGTTGACGCTCCATCATCTTCAACACAGCCGTCTCCGCGGTTTACGGGTGTCAAGGGCATTGGCATTGACGAGGTATGCAATATTTAAAAAATATTCATCAGTGTGTAGCGTGTTGAGCCATCTCCCACTGTTCGTGTGTACGCGTACACCCCTAGGGGTTCCTTCAACCCATCGTCGTCTCTGTAAGTGTTGCTACTTGTGTATTATATAAATTATGTTTAGTTATGCCGATAGAATTACACGTGCCTTGGAGTGGCAAGCATACAGGTCAGAGGTGAGTCATGCGATCCGTTTCCCCTCATTGCGTTGCAGGCATTGAACCTAAAAAATTTACACTCTCGTTTAATGCATAACCAGGTAATATATATAATATGTACTTATGTCATAAAATTTCAGCGTCGTCAATTAGGTCGAATCATAGGTGAGATTTAAATGCACCTGCGGCGATGTGGTTCCAGATGCGTCGGAGAAGCGTGGTTGAAAGGATTCAAGATTTATATATTGTATATATATTCGGATGTAAAAAATATCTGGTTCGGTTCCTATAATTTAGGTATACGAACGTGTATATCTATTGTCGCGTTTTGCCTGTGATTGCGTGATCGCTCCGTCGTGGACTTTGGCTTGGCGTCGTTTTAGCACGCCTCTCGTGAGATTCTAAGTCTAAATTCGAGACTTGTCCATTGTATGGACGTCTGCGTGTTTTCGTATGATTTTTATTGCCTTTAATATCAACGAAAACAGCCGTTTATTTGGTGCCTGAGGCAATTTATCTCGTTTCGTCTTCTCCATCGAATTGCTTGTGAACGAGGATGCATAACCTGGATGAGCAGGTTACGCCTACTCAGGCATCCGTAGATGGCAATGCGCGTTCATTTGACATGCCGCGTTCTAGCAGGCTGAGGGAGGAACTTTGTTTTCAAGCAAGTGAAATGCCCACGTCGCACATCATGGCATTGGTATGTTTACGAGTCGTTGTTATGAACTTCATATCTTCTGTTTTCTTAGTTTCTGTATTTTCTCGTCAATTGTTGTTCTATGTCTATCTCTGGGGATCTATCTTTCACGAGTGTGTGGTTACAGTGGCAACAGTTAGCCATGTATCGCTTCCACTCTCATTTGTGTGGTTTATATAACTCTGGAGCGTAGAAACGTGGCTCTGCCGTGAATATTTCGTAATTCATGTTTTACTGCTCCATGTGTATTTGCGTGTCATAAGTTTCAATATTCTACAGGACCAGCTAATTCAGTACCAATGTGCCCACTTGGAGAAGCAACTTGTTGCTTTGAAGGTGAAGCGTGAGTTGTTGCACCAGGGGAAAACAGTTTTTGTTTCCCTAAATGAGCTCGTCAGTGAGGAGTGTCTGGAGGCAGCAGAAGATTTGTTAAGTTCCGTGTCAGCAGGTCCTTCCATTGAGGCACCTGCGGCTCAGCCTTATACTTTATCGCGATCTCGAACGGTTGGCGTTAGTTTTCCTTTGCTATTGTTTATTTCCGTGTAGGATGAGATCTCTCATATAATTGATTCTATCAATACGCGCAAGGCTAACGAGGAAGAGAGCGATGGTTTAATGCGCCGCGTGCAATTTACAGCTATAGATACGGATTCTACCGTATGCACGCAGGCACCACGGCGGTCTGTGACTTTGCCTGAAGGTCGATCTTCAGGTCCTATTGGTAAGTTTCGGTTCTAGCGTGTTGATATCTTTTGTAGCAGGTGACATTCAGTTGATGTTACATATGCAAGGCACTTGCAAACCTTGTGCGTTTTATTACAATAAAAAGAAGGGTTGTCGCAACGGCACTGCTTGTGGTTTTTGCCATCACGAGGACCATTCTTTGTCTACATTAAAGCAATGGAAGAAACAGCAAAGGCTGTTTTCCCAAAGTGGGAGTTTGAGTTGCGAGAAATTGGGAGAAATTTTGAATCCCAACCTAGCGCCACAGTAGCTGGTCGTTTTTTGAACATTTATTTTAAATTATTGCGATGGAACAGGACGATCGTTTCATTCCGACGGCTCGCTTTAAGCGTGCTCGTGGCACAATAAAACCTAGTTCTGATCCGCGTTTTTCTCGGTTGTTTGAGTCTGACAAGGCTCGAGTCAAGAGCGCACCTAAGATCGATCCCTTCGGTCGTCCGTTAGGTAGCGTCGTATTTTGTTGCTTTAATATTATCTAGGCGATGTGTCTGATGAAGATGCGATTTCATCCGACAGTGAATCCGAGGAACCGTTGGAGTCTGGTCCCACCGGTTCTGCGGTCGAGGCTGAAGAGGATACTCAGGAGCTGGAATACGTAAGATGCCTATGCTAGCATTGAAAAACGATGACAGGGTGATGCTACGAACCGTGTTGCTGTAGTAGGGTGTGATTGGGACAACATTAGTGCCTCTGATCTCTTCGTGTTATTCGAGACAATGTATCGATCACTCACGTCTAACCACACCGGTTGTGTGAAAAGGGCAGCAGTCTATCTGTCCGACTTCGGTAAAGAGCGTTTGGAACAGGAGAGCTTGCATGGACCTTCGATTGTTTGTTATACAGTGTTCTTCATCAAATCAATTGCAGGGTGTCCCTGATGATGTGCGCGAGGAAGAGCTTGACGAAGAAACTCGTCAGGAAGCTTTACGGAAGTATCAGAAGGACCGTTCTCGATATTATTATGGCATTGTAGAGTTTGAAACTACCGATCAGGCTAAGTTGTTGTACGACGAGATGGACGGTGTTGAAGCCTATTTCGCTTTCGCCAGTCTCGACTTGCGATTCGTACCAGGTGATATTGTTTTCGATCGTGATCCTACATCCGAGTGTTTCGAGATGCCAATCAACTACGAGCCACCGATGGAGAGCACTTCTGCGTTCCGTCACTCCAGGGTTGAATGCAAGTGGGATTTGCCTTCCACTAAGCGTTTTAAGACTTTAACAAAGAGGTAAGGGCGTGTATTCGTACCATTTATGCATATTGCACGTAGATTCAAAGAGCAGGACATTGAGTCTCTTGACGTTAAGGAATATCTTGCATCTGAAGACGACGACGATGTGAACGTTGAGGAGTATAAATCGATATTGCTGGACAAATCTGACACTTCTACCTCGGTTATATCTATAGACGGCAACATTGGCGCCAAGATTGGTAAATACAGTATATCCTTTGGGGCATTTCAGGATATGCCTGACTTGGATGAGCCTAAGATGTCTACATTACAAGAGGATATTAAAGGGCGTAAATCGTCATCTGGCAAGCGTAAATCTAAGCGTGCCCGTAAAAGTGTGGATGAAGAGCTGGATGACGTTTGTTTATTGCTTCATTTTGCTGAGATGTGTAGGTTCGTGACTTCGACGCTCGTCTCTCACAAGAGCAGCAACCAGGTTTCGATGTATGTTTTCGGTACATGTTATTAACATTTTCAGGGTAAATTGGATGACAGTCGTTTCAAGCGCGTGTTACATGACCCTGATTTCGCCATTGATACTCGGCACCCTAAATATCGCGTACGTGTTTGCGCGCTTTGCTTTTGACATTGTGTCAGAACACAGATTTCAACAAGAATCTTCTAAGACGGAAGGCGGAATTAAAGCGTTGAGAACAATGTTAAATATAGATATTGGTTTGTTGCGTCGTTTTCTTTTGGCGGTAAGAATGTGTTGTGTGTCGTAACAAGTATTTCAGGGCGCTAGCGCCGATGCCGCCGCCGAGCTTTTACGTAGCGTATGTCGTCGTTATGTTGAGCTATTATATGTACGATTCAGGTCACAGTGGACGAGATTGTGCTGAATTTGTCCCAACTAGGTGACGAGAGTTTCCCTAGTAGCTGCGATGAGGACTGTTCTTTGGCCGAAACGACCGACGATCGATACCCTGGCACTATATTGGTGCGTGTTTTGGACGACCTTTTGGATGTTGAAAGGCTTGGTTCGCTTTTCCACAACCCTCAGGTGCGTTTTTTATTGTTTTTTATGACATCGGAGTAGATAATGGATTTGCTTTCCGCACGCCTTCTCACCGGTTCCTTTCCAGTCAGGCTGTTGTTCGTTCAGAAATGCAAGCTCTACTTTTCAAAAAACGGTAAGTTTGTCTACGTCCTTGAGTGACGGTACCCAGGTAAATCAAACGACAAGCTGACAGAAGTACTGTGGCGTCTATTATTTGATAGTGAGTATCGAATTTTCGAATCAGCATCCCAGGCGCTATGTTTGGTGAGTTAATATCATCTATGTGCATCAAATTAGCTTTTAGATCGTGGAGCGTGATCCCCACCTTTTGACCCCGTTGCGTTTGGAGGAGCTCGCTACCACTGTGAAGGTGGGCGATTCCGACGGTATCCTTGGCGTCCGCGTCATCGAGTTTTGCGCATCTCTAGGTAGCACATCTCCTGTCGCATTTAAGGCACTCCTGGGTGCTGGGCTATACGACGCTATGTTCAACATGTACATGACGGCAGACTGTTTGGTAAAGCTCAACTGTCTGGAGATTATGGAGCGTATGCCCACGTTTGTATACCGCTTACAGGAGTCGTCCGCTATTCCGCGTGAGTTTATCACGCACGCGTTGTCCACAGCGTCATCCGATGGGCATCACAGCGGTGACGATTTGATCGCACCGTTTCTATTTAAATTTCTCCTATTCCTGCTTCGTCAGAAAGCGTCTCTCACTACCGAAGACAGTGCCAGGTTCGGTGTTGTGGTCTCTCGGGTTATCATGCAAGGTACTCCACGGACTATTTCGCCGATATTTTTGTCGGCGCTTGAATGCTTCGGACCCCTTTATCTCTTGGGCCACATATCACCGGACGTATGCCACAAGATCGAGGAGATGTTGTCTGGTACAGCGCAAGAGAGCGTGCTCCTGTCCGTGGTGGCATCACTTTCGCGTATGGGTGATGAACCTCTTGGCCCAGAACACTTTTCAGTTTTTCATGCCTTGACACGGCGCGTAGTGACGGCACTACCTCGCTTCCCATTATCTGAAGTGCGTGAGTCAGTGTACACATTTTTAACCAAGGCGGTACGCTTTGACGGTATATTGCGCTGCATACTAGAGGAAGAGTCCAAGACGCACCTTTTCAGCAGCGAGGAGAATCTGTACTCCACGACCGTTGCAAAGAAACAGCTGGTAAAACTTGTTCTCCAGCTGGTAGAGGACTCTAACGTCGAAAGCGATTACCCTCTTCGCTCGCAATGCATCAACGCCCTGCGTCGTTACGCTTGCAGCTGAGGCCTTTATTGTTTTCGGCTGCATTTTGGTCACTGTTGAATAACAGCCGTTGAAATTGGACACATCGCATCAAAATGTTCAATCCGTACTTTTAATACTCACGTGTTAAAATATATTACGTAGTCCATGTTGAATCGTGCGGTACCCCGGTACCGACATGGTCCTCGTACTTGAGTCTCAGGATTCAATGATTGGGATTGCTACATTGTAGAGTTTCTGTGGCCGTTGTATGATATACATGTCACTCATTTGGTACAGTCCTAAAAATTAGTTCGCGATGCATCGGCAGGTTTGGGTGGTATGGTGAACGGCCGATTCGATGATTTTGATGTACTCGTTTTCGCTGCTCTCATGGCTTCTATTCTGCTCTCGAGTTGCTGCGAATCCATAATACCACGATACCTAGCTAGTTTAGCATCCAATTCTTGTTCCTTTCTTTCCAATCGTTGTCTAGCAGCATTGAGTTCAGCTTCCTTAGCCAGCTTGTGTTTCTCGAACTGTGCCTTTTGACCCTCCAGGCTGTTGCGTTCAATTGCAAGCATCGCCATTTGTTCCCTACATTCTTGCATCTGCGCCTCGTACTGTTGTGCCCTCGCACGTGTATTCATAAGTTCAGCCTGTAACTCCTCTAATTCCTTTTCCCTTGCTTCTAGAGCATCTTGGTAACGTTCTAGTTTATGTTCTTCCTCCTTCAGCATGAGTTCGCGTTGCTTCAGCTGAGTGGCGTACTCCGTGAGTTCTACCTGTTTGGCCCTTAATTCTTCTGCTGCAAGTTCGACTTGTTTTGCACGAGTTTGAAGTTCGATCTCAGCTTCTTTAATATCTCTGTATGCATCATGTGGTATGGGTGATTGGTTAAAATGTAGCTGCTGTTCGGCTGCAGATGCTTGCAATTGTCTACTTTGATGTTCAATTTCCTCATCTAGCATACGTTTTTGCTTACTGCAAGCACGTTTAATGCTTTTGAGTTCCGATTTGGCATTTCTTATTTCATCTAGTGCCTGATTAACTTTATCCCATTCTGCCTTAATTTTTTCTCTTGCCAGTTTCATCTCCTCTCGTTCTGTTTGTAATCGTTGTGTCTCTTGATTTAGCATTTCTTCCTTTTTTTTAAGATCGTATGCTATTGCTTCGCTTGCATCACTTGACTCTGCAACTTCCTTTATCTTGTGTTCTAGTTCTCGTTTTTTTGCCCTTACATAATCGTCGAATGCTGACTTATCATCTATCAAAGTATTTTCCATCTCTGCCAGCTTTCTTTTTTGCGATTCGATATTTTCCATTTCTTCTTCTACACGTCTCTTGTGTTGTTTCATTTCCTGCGCTATCTGTTCACGTGCCGTAGCGCACTGGTCCCTTATCTCTTTGAGTCTATCTGTTTCTAGAAGTAGTGTGTGTTCTAGTCTTTCTATTTCATCTTTTCTTGCATTGAGTGACCGTGATGCATCTTTGAGCATTGCTTCTTTCTTTCCTACATCGCTCAGCCCATTTTCATATTCCTCCAGTCTCCTTCGGCATTCTTCTTCCAGTGCAGAGCATTCGTCTAATCTTTGCATCAATACTCGTTGTGTAGAATCATTATGTTGTTGCATTTGACTAATACTTTGTTGTTTTCCCTGAAGGTATGTTTTATAGCTTTTCATTTCCTCTTCTCTGAGCGTCAATTCTCTTTCTAGTTCGTTTAGTTTTCGTTCTCTTCTTTTTAGTTCATCGAAGCGATGTCTGATTTTACTTTGATCCTGATCTATTTGTTTTCCTCTTCTTTTAATTTCTTGTTGTGCTCGTTGCATGTGTTGTCTGGCACCGCAGACACATTCCACATCTTCGTGGAAGGCTGCAGCATCGGAACGTGAGTGTACACTTCTCGAAGCCATCATGTTCCCTGAATCACGAGAGTCGTTGCGATAATGTCTTTGTTCAATATCATCGGCATAGGACTGGCCGACGTTATCTGTCGTATAACCGTAATTGGCCATCATAATCACTGTGCTGTTACCATACTTTGCGATCTCACCATTCAACAGGGCACGTGAATGTTTATATGAGCTATATAAGAGCGCTAAGCGCTATTCGTTTCTTGCCAAACTGAAATGCCTAGTTTCCCATTGCCACTTGACTAATAACTTTCGCTTAACGCTTCTGTCTCTGTTATCTTGTATATGACTGCTGCTTCTCCCGGTTACCGAACGTTATACCTATCTGTGTAGTTTCTCTGTTTAGAAGTAGTCTTGTGTCTCTAGTGTCGTTGCCGTTATTCTGTAGGATCGTCTTGCGAATCTACGGTGAGTCGCCCCTTGGTGTCTCGCCTTTAAACTAGCTCTGGCAGCATGAATGTGCTAAGATAATATATATCAGGTTGCATATGTCGATTTGTGTCACACACCTCTTTTGTCTGTTGAAAGCGCCGCTACGCTTTGCACCTGCGTGATAGTTCCTTCGCTTGACATTAGGCGCTATAGTCTTTCCTAGGACAACGCTTTGATGCGTGAATCGTCAACTATTGCTTTTCCTTAAAATTATGGTTGCTAGCTTCTTTATATGTGGCGGTGTTTTCTCATGGCCACATTGTGTGAGCCTCTTCCCTCACCACTGTCTGTCTCCCTACTAGGTTTAGAGAGCGCTCCAATTTGCGTTTGTTTATTGAATGGATTGCATATATGATTAGGTTAATTATCTTTACAGTGGTAGAATCCGCGTCGTAAAATGTGCGATATTGCTATGTGTGCCGTTCCGCGCGCCGCAGTGTGTATAATGACTTTCAAGCCACCAACTGATTTGCAGACCAAATACACTTGTTAAGTGCCCATATTGTACCGCAAGTTATCGGTTAGGGTGTGTATAAATTAGAATGTGTAATGCATAGTCCACCACGCCTTAGAATCCGTATTGATTCCGGCTGGAACTATGCATCACCGTTAAATCTCATTTCCCACCTCTTTTGTTTACCTCACCAACATTATACAGTTCCGTACAGTGCGTACTGGTGACGCGGCGCGTGTTTGCGACTAGTGGCGCCTTGTGTTGCTGGGTATTGGTCTTCGTTATGTGGGCCTGGCTGGTACTGCCTTATAGTGTCTTCAAAATGTGTGTATAATTTGCCTTGGTATTAGTTATATATTGCATTTTGTAATACCGGCGCGCATCGTACGTCTCTATTCGCTGGGGCTGGAAGGTTGTATGTATTAACAATTTCGAGCATCTTCTGGGCCTCATATTTAAATTATCACGGGGACACGCGCCGAGGGTTAGTTGCGTTGTTTGGGATGTTGTTATAGTGTTGTCGTTTTGGGTGTAGTTGCTTGTCTGTGTCTATCTGTATTTCCCATAGGGCCGACACGCGATGGGTTCATCTAATTTTTACGCCGATGTGACCCCTGATATTTTGAAGGGCGGTGCACAGGAGGATAAGGGTGAGACTGCACGTATGCAATACTTCATTGGTTCCATTGCTGTGGGCGACTTGGTGAAGACAACTTTAGGTCCCAAGGGTATGGACAAGCTTTTACAGCCTATGAACCTGGAAGGTCCCCGTGGAGAGAATGTTATAACAAATGACGGTGCAACAATTTTGAAATCGGTCTGGTTGAACAACCCTGCAGCTCGTATTTTGGTTGACGTTTCTATGCAACAGGATTCAGCTTGCGGTGACGGTACTACTGGTGTCGTTGTATTAGCTGCTGAGCTTTTGCGTAACGCTGAAAAGTTACTTGAACAACGTCTTCATCCTCAGTTGATTTGTTTAGGTTACCGTCGCGCTTTGCAGGTTGCTCGTCAGCGTCTTGAGGAGATAACCTTTTCTAGCATATCTGACCCTGAGAAGTTCGAGTCTGATCTATTTAAGATAGCATGTACCACTCTATCTTCTAAATTGTTGCGTATGGAGAAGGCTCATTTTGCGCGTCTCGCTGTTGATGCATTATTACGTATGAGTCGTGATATAAAGGAGCAGGGTGGCAGTTTGAAGGATGCCTCTTCGCACATAAATTTGAGTTTGATTCAGATAATTAAGAAGCCTGGTGGTTCTCTTAAGGATTCTTATTTGGAAGAGGGTTTTGTATTGGAGAAGAAGATTGGCGTAGGTCAGCCCAAGACCATGACAGATTGCAGGGTGCTTATCGCTAACACTCCCATGGACACTGATAAGGTGAAGATTTATGGTGTGAAAGTGAACGTTGACAGTTTTGAGGCTGTTCACGCTCTTGAGCAGAGTGAGAAGCAGAAGATGAAGAACAAGGTTGATCGTATTTTACGTCACGGCTGCAACGTGTTTATCAATCGTCAGTTGATATACAATTACCCTGATCAGCTTTTTAAAGAGGCTGGTGTTATGACTATTGAACACTCTGATTTCGATGGTATGGAGCGTCTGGCTAAATGTTTGGGTGGTGAGATCGTGAGTACTTTTGATACTCCTGAGAGTGTTACTCTCGGTCGTTGTGATAAGATTGAGGAGATTCTTGTCGGAGAGGACAAATTGATTCGTTTCAGTGGCTGTCCACGTGGTGGTGCGTGTTCTGTAATATTGCGAGGCGCATCTAGCCATGTACTTGACGAGGCTGAGCGTTCACTTCACGATGCTCTCGCTGTACTTGCTGAAACAATATCAGACGGTAAAGTTGTTTGTGGTGGCGGTTGTGCCGAGTTAGAGATGGCTACTGCCGTTTTTGAGCACGCCAAGACTATTGAGGGTAAAGAGAGTTTAGCTGTTGAGGCGTTCGGTGCCGCCTTGCTTAAATTGCCTGAGTATATCCTATCTAATGGTGGTTATGATGCTGCTGACGTATTGAGTAAGCTGAAAGCCGCTCATGTTTCTGGTAATATCCACGCTGGTATTGACATCGATAAGGGTGGCGTTGGTAACATGTTGGAGTTAGGCATTTACGAGAGTCTGAAGTCAAAGATGTCTCAAGTATGTCTTGCTACCGAGGCTGCGGAGACCATTGTTCGCGTAGATGACATCATCAAATGTGCTCCCAGAGAGCGCCAGCCCGGTGTCTGATCGGCACGGACGGCGTTATCGGTCCCGTGGCAACTACTTTTCGCATGAATTGGCCTTCACAGGTTACTTTTAATATATTCTATATGTTTTTTCTACTGTTATATAGCATAGGTGACATCAAAAATCAGCTAGTGTTTTGTGTCCTATTCGTTTGAGCATCCGTTTATTTTCTCGTCGTTTTTTATTGTACTGTTCGATCTGTCGAACTTTGATAGTTTAAGTATGATGCTTCTTACCTCATTTTGCGATTTCTTAAGTTTGATTTGCTCTAAGAATGTAAGATGTTGTTCCGGTTCATATTTCTGTATTGATTGTATCTATGCGGTTTCCGTGTACATACCTCAGCTTTTTCCACAGCTTCATTTATTTTACGTATACAAGCCTTTCTATTTTGTTCTTGGCTTGCAAATTCTGTGGCGAAGTTTATTTATATTGTCTCTTTATGTGCACTGACCATCAGACTCTGTGATAAAATCTCCTGCCTGGGTGATTCTGCTTTTAAATAGTTCTCTACAATGCATATTTAGATTCTATGTCTTGTATATCGGTACCTGAATTTTTCTTTTGTGTCAGATGTCATCCAATATGCGTGTTCAATATTGAACCTTGCCTGTACCTTGGTTTCAGACTGAGCGTATGTTAACTGGGTCTGTGTTAGTATTCCACCTTATTAACACTCTGTCCACCAGGTCCCGATGATCGTGATGTTGTTAATTTGATATATTTAATGGGTACTTTTGTTGCGAATCCTCGTCGCGCCAGCATCCGCCATATATTGGCGGCACATGGCATTGTAACTCGTGTCTACTACTAAGATTCGATGTGTACTATAACCATTGCGATTTATAATTACATATTAGTGTTATTCGTTGCCATCTGTGTGTGGCCCTGTGTATAGTCTCTGTATTGAAAGCTATTGTCTTCCGCGTCTGTGTAAGAATCTGTTTGTACAACATACATGCATCTGTGATGTACTATCATTTTACACAGTAATAGGATAGTACCTTATCCAAATGGTCATTTTGTGTTGTTTGACCATATTATTTCCGAACCATTTTTGTTTCTTCTTCTTTTTAGCTTGCATTTCAAACTTTGTTCTTACTTTTCTTCCTCTGTTTAAGACGTACTATACACCCGGCGACTACGAAAACCACCAGCATGACGACTACGATGATCCCCGTTAGATGCTCATGGCTGACCACTGACGGGCTTGCTTTTGTCATTGATGGTGATACATATGCTGCTTTTAAGGCGTCATTTACATTTTGTGCGGCGTTTTGTTCAATATTTTGTTGCGGTGCCCCGGGTATTACCATTTGGGGTACTGGTCCTGCCATAGCTGCTGTTTGTGCCAATGTTGGCATAGGTGCCATGACCGGTACATTTGGTGTCAATTGTGGTTGCATTGGTTGTGTCATAGCCATTGGCATTTGTGGCGTCATTTGCATCGGCATCCCTGGTGCGGCCATGGTTGGTGTAAGTGCCATTTGTGGATTTTGTATACCAGCGGTTTGCTGTTGCATTGATGCCAGGAACGGCTGCATTTTGGCGCCATTGTTTGTTGTTGGGAACGGTCCTGAAGCAAGATCGGCGATTTCATCTAATACTCGGTTAGCCCCTACAGTTAAGTTTTTCAATAACCCTCCTGGTGTGATCTCCAGTTGTGAGGCAACAGTATGATCTTGTGCTTTTGACAATAAATCTTCATATTCATCTATATCGTATACTTGTACATTAGCGGCTGCTCTGGGTTCTATATCACTTTTCAATCCGTTATATCCGCGTCTGGCTGCTGTGCGTGTCTGGGCCCTGTGTAGCTGCATCCTGTATGATTATCTGGTTTGGTCTTATGCACTTTGCAGTGCTAATATTATCTCTCTAGTTCTATAATTATTGTCCGATTGTCTTATTTTAAATCTGTTATCGGTGTGTTGGCTAAGCACACATTCGCACGGTGCTCTATTACCTTAAAGACAGTTTATCGTATGCTTCCAGTGTGTGTTGTGTTCTGCACAATTATGCCTAAATATTACATTGTCTTCGAATGTTCTATATGTGTAACGTACACGGTCCGTTTACCTCGGTGTTCGAGGGAGTCGGCGGGACGGCCCCTTTCACTGCCGTTTGCCCTTTGAAAAGACACATTACTTACATCTACATATAAATATCGATTCAAACATGTACCACGATTAACGACTGTCTGCACAACGCCTTGTATGATCAATGCGTAAAGAGGCGCCTGTTTTGTTTGTCTGATAAATCCACGATCGCGTCTTTGATTTGACTATGTTGCGACCTCATTTATAGCGCCACTCTTATAACAAAACGGTTCCCCGTTTATTCGGTCTTGAGTGTCTCGTCTTTGGCCATGGGACACATAGCATCTTTAAGTTTGTTCTTGATAAGATCGGCTAAGTCACATAGTTTGGCAGCTGCTATGTTTACTCCACCGTTTTTAATAACCATAACGGTGTACTTATCGGCAAATTCCAATACCCTTGATCGCGGTACGACCAGTACTACTGATATGATGCTGAATGCCAGTGGCCATAGTAGTTCTGATATCAATCCCAGTAGAGCGAACAATACCGGTGAGAATATTCTGTCCAGTATAACCCAGAAGACAAGTGCTCGTAGATAGTAGTTTGCATGTTTGACATTACCTAAAGACGCTGCGTGCAAACCTACAATCACTGGGACCACGAATCCGCTTATTACGCCTACAAAGCGGCACAGGTGGATTAGAAAGCTCATCTCGTTTCTTTATCCTGGATGTCCTTCTATACTTGTTGACGTGGCAGTTCGCTTGGTCGTTAACTTGGCACAAGGGGTGAGGTCAACTGTGTGTATCGTTATAAAATTTAGACAAGCAGTTTGTCGTGTAAAAAACTGATGAACTATTTATACGTTACGTATAATCCGATGCTTCTTTCGTTGGTAGACGCGCGACCTTCGACGTGGCGCAGCGCCCCCATCGCTTGGTTCGGTACTTCAGGTTAACGTTCCTTCTATGGAAGGTCAATATAACATTGGTTTGCTGATCCGTACGGGTTTCGGTACCAATGCTTCAATGTCTATATCTTCCTCTTCTTCTTCGGATTCCTGTTCCGATCCCTCTGCTGCAGCTTCCAAAGATTCTCCCAGGAGCCATTTCTTCCACGATAATAGCTGCACGTTATATTAGTTTGGAATATATATTGCGGGGGTTTAGGTATACACTGGGTTGTTTCACACGCCTTTACCACTATGCCTACACAATGTGGCCTAAAAGAGTGATTTTAGTTTAGACCCATACACGAACCGCTATAGCGGTCTCTGCTTCAGGGTCTGTCGATCATTCATATGCACATTGCGCCTTACCTGTAATATGACGTTGATTCTATCTGGTACGTCTTCTGGCAAATTTTCTAGCCATTGGATTGCCGTATCGCGTGATATTACTTCGCATTGCACTAGAGCATCGAACACAGCTTCTATAAGGTAGATGGATTCCGATATTGCTGGTAATTTCCATTCGCACATGAACTTGGCCACTTCTGTGAGTAATACTGCCTCTATATCATCTTCATGTCTTTCGCATAGGTTGATGAGTAGTGGTGCTACAGTTTTGAATTTATTTTTTACGTCTTCCATGGTCTCGCATGTTTCGCAGTGCTTAGACACTATTAGACATGTTACGACGGCTGGTACAAGTTCTTCTTCGTCTTCTGGTACTACTTGTAAGACATCTAGCTGTCCTCCGTTGATAAGTGTGTTGACTGCATCTTCCACTTGTTTTATAACATCATGGTTCACATGATACATGCGATTATGTCGTACTATAGCATCTTTTTTCTGTTGTACCTGTATTTCCGCTTGAGATGGTTGTTTGGTTAGTGTATCTTTTTTCTGTTCTGTTTTTTCAACTTTCTTTTTATCCTCATTTTTATTATCTGCGATTGCCGCAGCTTTGAGGAAAATATCCTTAACAGTTGAATTTTTGGGTGTTGTGGTTTGTTGCTGCGTTTGTGTTCGTTTGTACGATGGCACGAATACTCCCGATTTTTGTGAATCGCCAAAGAAGTTTGATCTTGAATTTTCTCTATTATCTCTGAATGCATCTCTTCCATATTGGTTTCCGAATTCTCGTGATTCTGAATCTCTCCTATGCATTGCAAATATTTCCTTGGTTCTTGATGATTCGAAGGTAGTTGAGTTTTGGTATCTGGGTTCACTATCATTCTCAAGGCAGCTGAATCTTGATGACATTTGCGATGCACCATCTCCCATGTTGAATGCGTTTCTTTCATTTTTTTTTGAAGGTGGCACATATAGTTTTTTTCCGGTATTTTCCCTCTGTAGAGTTGCCCTATTAAACATATCATTATCGTCGACATCCCTTGTTGATCTATCTTCCCGTCTGGGTGTTTCCGGTCCTCTTCTTGGTGACCTTTCGCTGTTTGTGTTTGTGACTGGCCGTCTCCAAACATCATCATCTACTTCTGTTTCTTCTGTGATGGGTTGCATCGTTGTGTTCCTCCATACATCTTCGTCTGGTTTTCTTTCTGCATCATCTGCTGGTCCATTTCTGCCGCCTGATTGGCCTCTTGAATCCGATCGTACAAATTGATTATCTGTACTTCTTACGGTGCTAAAATCAGGTTCTGGTTTTTCGTCATATCCATCCCTTGCTCCTCTATTATCGAAATCATCATCGTCATCATCTCCTTCATTAGCCCATCTTGACGTTCCTGATTTATATCTTTCTGTTCCGAACGACGTCGATTGTGTTTCTTCCTCATTTCCGGTTACACCGCTCGAGAACCTTGGCATTTCGGGTTTCCCTTCATTTAGAACCCGCTGGAGGTCACGTAGATTGACCGAGATTGGTTTTTTTCCCGCCATATTGCGGTGTTACGAAATGTGTAGCTTGGTTGTTAGATTTTATATGTTTGGCGTTCTTTTTTTGCGTTGTCTCCAAAAAATTTATTTTTTCCGGATTCCTTATCATATCCATACCAATAGTTTTTTGTAGCTTTCTACTGTCTATGACAATGGTAGTTATGCTAGGTTGCGAGTCTGTTTTGATCGGCTCTAGGCTGCCCCATCCATATACCAGTTGTCTTGGTCCATGGTCGCCAATCTATAGATAATTCGTGTGAAAAGTGTCCCTATTACAGTTGCGGCTCCGTATCTTTGCGTCATAGGTATATTATATCTAGCGACTGCTGACATCTCGGCTTGGCCTTACTACGCTTCATCAATACGTTTCCTGAGTTCACCTCGTGGTATTTATTTTTCAAAATTTAGCTTAGTTGATTCCAAGCGCAAAAATTGCCGCTAAAGTGGCCAGCCGTTGCGTCTCAACTGGCATTATGGCTCATGCGGGGAAGAGTCATGGTACCTCTTCGTCATATTTATTCATTTTATTCATGTTACACGATGTGTCAATATTTAAAGTCATTGCTCTGGCTTATTGTGAGCTGTATGCGTCAAATTATTCTCAGGAAGGTCTCTTCTATCGCTTTTTCCTGATATGTTGAAAGGATTCCTCTTTTATAGTGGCCTATAGGGGCGCCCTGCGCTCAAACGGCGCAGTAGAATATTGTCATCGTGTGTACTTTGTGAATGCTGTTCTGAGCTGTCATCAATTATCACATGTGCACGTCACAGCTAGTAATTGCATGTACGACGACACACATTCCCAGTTTATTACACAATTAGAATGTAACTAGTTATTCGTCACTAAGATTGGTTCTTATATTATTATTTATCCTTTATTCTAGGGCCGGTGTATGGTTTCTCAGTTCATAAGTCCTCCTCCGGAGCGTCGCGCATACGTCCACTGGCGACTCAGTTTGGCCCACACATATTAACTCCCTATATTGCAACTTGTCACATGTGTTTCTCACGTTTTTCTAAGCTGCAGGAGTATTGAGGGTCTTTTTCCTTGGTTTTTGTAGACGTAGTGAATGGTTGTTGTGGGGAGTATAGGTGCGTTTTCTTTCGTCCAGTGGTTCTATCGTCTTCGGATGACCTGTACCGTTCGCGAACATTATGCTCGACTGGCATATGTTTATCGTCGGTAGTGGTCTCTAGGGTATATTTGATATATTTCCAGGTCTGCCGGCCTGGACTCAAGACAGGGCATATATTGGCTTATAACAATTTCCCTTTTCTCTATTTATTGCTCAATGTTACCGAGGATGAGTTATTCAGGAGTTGAACGAAATGTGGACCCTTACAGTGATTACGTGATATACGTGAATCCTATGCAGTATGAGCGCATTTGCTTGCGGCGGGCTCAGCGAGACCGGCTTTTACAGAAGCGTGGTCGTCCTCCGCAGACTTATGTGCCATTGGCGGTTCGTTATGATTCTCCTAAGTTGAAGCGCGGTCGTTCTGATTTTGAGGCTCCGTCCCAGACATATGGTTATTCTGGCTATCCGTCACAATCATACGGTACGTATCGTGATCCTCATTACGATCGTGCGAATGACTATGCTCGTGCTGTTACTAAGATGTTGCGAGTGAATGGTGGTGTTATGCCGGATTATGCTGATGTTGCAGCTATGATTTCAGGTCCTTGTGACGGTTCACTCTACAAGAGTAAGATGCAATCACGTAAGGCCGTTCAACCTCGTGCGAAGGATTACGCTCCATCCAGTGCAACTAGCCCATGTTCTATGTCAACCATACGTGATGGTATGCCTGGTAAACATTACATGGGTATGCAATACTCAGGTTTACTGGAGTCTTGTGGTGGTGGTATTGATCGTTCTAATTCTGAGAATTTCGTTAGTGGCGACATGTACCCTCAGTTACACGGACTGAATCCTAACAGCAAGCATGTAGTTTCACGTATGATTGGGATGTCTGAGGGTTATCCTTCAGCGTCATCAGTGATGGGCGATGGCCATGTTATGGGAGGTCGAATGATGCCGAACGTTCGTGCGCCTAATGCCATGGGTATGGTTAACACCTTTAGCGGCCCTGACAATGTCGTAGCTACGACTACCGATATGTATCCCATGAATAAATTGGGATCGTCGGTGTACATTAATGGATCGTATTCTGCAGAGACTTATAGCGGCGATTCCTGTTCTTCTGAGAGTTATTCTAAAGACGGATACGTATCTCATGGAGACGGCCGCGATTATTACAGCTCTAATATAAGTGGTTGCGTTAATAACGCATCAGATTGCCGTGGGGACGGTGTCTACACCAGTGGCGATGCCCTGGATGCTGGATCCGGTCACGTGACGGATCCCCCTGTGACTGGCGACATGAGTTGCGGTTACTCTCAGCACGTTGTCGAGGGTGTTGGTGGTTATCAGACTCATTCGGTATCGCATAGCGCGATAGCTAAAGCAGCCGGTGAGGTTCCACTACTGTTTCAGGGTCCTCTACACAATGACTACGTGTATGTCACCAGTACAGATGCAAAGGTGTAAGCTTTTGCTTAGACATTTTCTCACTATATAATTTTATTACTTTATGCTCAGAACGTTTTATATTGTGTGTGCGTGTAATTTTATTGTCTATGGGGAGCTGCTGTATTAAAAGGCTGCGTCGTGTCGTCTCCCCGCATTATCATTTGACCTTCCTTTTGTATATATTTTCGTTTCGTGATTATATTCGTGATGGGAAGACATTTGGTAGCGAAGGTTTTCGGTGGCGCCTTTGTAGGCCTTGCTGGTACTTACGTAGCAGTTCGTCGTGAGCACGAGCGTTGTGCCATGCCTAAGGGCACGAAATACAATGTGCCGTCTCAATTGAAGAGTCGTTCCACTATGGCTCGTGCTTTACGTAATGAGGAGTTTGATGTTTTAGTGGTCGGTGGTGGTTGTACGGGTGTGTTTTTGCCATGTAATATTTAATATTTTTTTAGGTAGTGCGGTCGCTCTTGATTGTGCCACTCGTGGATTGAAGTGTGCATTGGTTGAAGCGAATGATTTTGCATCTGGCACCTCATCTAAGAGCACAAAGTTGCTTCATGGTGGAATCCGTTACTTGGAGAGTGCTCTTTTGCATTTTGATATAAAGGAACTGCGTTTTGTATGGAAGGCTCTTGAAGAGCGTGCACACTTGATTTTTGCTGCCCCCTTTGCTAATCCACCGATACCTATTGTTCTTCCTATTTATCAATTATGGCAGATTCCATACTTCTGGTTTAACATTAAGGTGTATGAGTTGTTGGCTCGCTTTTTTTGTTGTAACGAGACAGGTGTTCCTTCATCTTATTACACTGGAAAGGCGAATGCGATAGACAGTTTCCCTCCTCTCCGTGAGAAAGGTTTACTGGGCGCAGTTGTGTACTATGATGGCCAGCATGATGATTCCCGTACTAACCTTCTTATGGCTCTAACCAGTACTATTGACAATTATGTTCCCGGTCAGGTTGGTGCCACGGTTGTTAACCACACTGAGGTGGTTGATTTGTTGAAGGACAAGGATGGTAAGGTGTGCGGTGCTACTGTTATTGACAAGTGCAATGGTGATAAGTTTGATGTGAAGGCTAAGGTTGTGGTTAACTGCAGTGGTCCTTTTGCTGAGAAGGTCCGTCAGATTGGTACGAAGGATGGTAAGGAGAACATGTTACATTCTCGTGGTACACATATTGTGCTGCCTTCATCCTATGCACCTACTCAGTTCGGTATGGTGATTCCTAAAACTACGGATGGTCGTGTATTGTTTACTCTCCCATGGCGTGGTGAGACCCTTGTTGGTACCACAGACACTAAGGATGATCTTCAGTGGAACCCGTTACCTAAGAAGAGCGACGTAGACTTCATTTGCAAGGATGCGGCTATTTATATGAACTGCAGTGAAGAGGAGATCCGTCGTGACATTAAATCTGTGTGGTCAGGTCTTCGTCCTCTTCTTAAAGGTCTTGACGACCAGCCTGACAGTGAGAAGACTGATTCTTTATCTCGTGGTCACGTGATCCATGTTGACCGTCAGAACCTTGTGAATGTATATGGTGGTAAGTGGACGATATGTCGTTTGATGGCTCAGGAATGTGTTGACCGTCTGCTCCAGGCTAATCCAACTATTGAAGCTAAGAGCGGTTGCCGTACACGCAACATGCGTCTGTATGGTACTCACACTTCTGAAGGGGAGTATCACAGTCACGAGATTCGTCCTCATTTCAACACCCTGAGTACTGAGCTTCGCAAGGAGTTCCCGTCTCTAACTCCTACTCAGGCTAACCACCTTGTTGAGAGTTATGGTTACAATTCTCGTGAGGTTGCTCGCATGTCTGCTGAGTCTGGAATGCTTAAACCCATTCACCCCGATTATCCATATCTTCAGGGTGAGATATTGTACGGTGTTCGTCGTGAGTATGCGTGCACTCCTCTTGACATATTGGCACGTCGTACCCGTCTCGCTTTCCGTGACAACAAGGCTGCCTCTGCGTCATTGGATACTGTTTGCGACATAATGGCTAAGGAGCTGTCTTGGGACAGTTCCCGTCGTCGTGAGTTGCGTACTCAGGCTGCAGAGTTCTTCAGTACTATGGAGCTCCCTGTATTCTGAGAAACCAATGCCTTCACCTTGTATTGTTCGTTGGATCTACATCTAACAGCATCACCGATTATATCATTTATATAGTCATTATGTTAGTTATAATAGCTATGGGCTACGATTGTATTTTTTTAAAAAAAGTTGCTGTATTTCTATCATTACGGTATATACCGTTGGGTGTTTTTCGGCGCCACGCTAGAATCAGGCTGCTCTTTATGTATATTTGTACATCTCGTAGGACGCCGCGGCGTGCGTACTCTACAGAACATTTTTCTGCAGGAGCATTGCTGTTCTTCCAATATGGTTGAGCATGATGAGAAGTATATTTTGCATGCTTTAGCATATAACTTTAAATCTTTAATATAACTCTTTAATAGTGTCAACTATGTGCTCTGTGGCCCCAATGGGCCGGTTAAATGGCTGCCCCGTGCTTATCCATGGGCCTGGAAAACGCTATTATTTCGTTGTATAGCAATGTGTTTTACATCTTTATAGAATATTGGATTAATGGACGTTGTATTTTTCGGTATGGTACAACTCTGTTGTGCTAACTTTGGGTTTTTTCCGGTGTAAGTTCCAGTGGCAATTCGGGCAACTAATAGCCCCTTTTCTCCGGTTCTATTGGTTATCATGAGTTAGTTTAGGGTACTTGTTATATTCATTGGTTGTTTAGTACATTGGCGAATTTTCAGCGATATTTATGACATAAGTTCCAGATTGATTTTTTTGTCGTATTGGTGTCCGGGGCTTGGGGGATCCATCTGCGGCCCAAATTTTGATGATTCATATTTCATGCCAATGGACCAACTGTCATTTTAGAGAGTACTTACGTGATTCTACGTGTGTAATGTGTCTAAATCTAAGTTTTAATACCGTTTTATCGTATGCAGAGGTTATGCTGTCGCTGGTTGTCGCTCCTTAAACTGGTTTGTCACGTGATAGAACTGCATTTTAACTAAACTAACAGATCTAAAATGCCTAATTATTGTTGTATTTTGTTTAAAAAATTAAAATATTATAGTTTTTTATGTGGTTTTATTGTACCTGCCAAACTATTGTCCAGTTCAGCTCATAGCATAAATATCTTGAAACAAGTCAAATAAGGTCACCACGTGGTACTACCCATTTGATTTTGTGTTCCGGTGCTTCATGGTAGAATAATCTCATATCGGCACGGTATTGCTGATGCATCCTCATCCATAGGTACGCACCGTAGAAAGCTATGATCATGCCTAGTAGGTACTCCCTCATTCCAATTGCAACATTATATTCTGCTGCTACCTGTTGTCTGTAGCTTAGCCATGCGCTTTCCCATGATACTTCCGGTTCCTTTGCCCGTTCTTCTGCGGTTCTGAACGGTTTTGGTATAAGTTTGCGATATATTTTGAGTGGCTTAGCGAACTTGTAGAACATTTCTTCGTAGTCGTCATTAGTAAACTTTCCAGTGATTAATCTGTCCATATAAGGTTTGAGTGCAGGTGTATCATCTCCTAATTTTTTGAGGAACGGATAGAATTGCGGTGGCAATCTAAACGTATGTTTGATTTTGGTTGTAACTTCTGGTGGGAAAGTGGCAGGACATCCATATCCATCTCTTGGTATGACTGTATGTTCTCCCCAAGTATAGCTTTGCCACATTGGTTGTGTTGTATTGGTGGCTACTAGTATCGGCCATCCTGTGTTCCCTATATCTTTTTTTAGAGCGTGATAACTTTTGTCCTCCCATGGATTTTTCGACGGTTCGTAATCGTACACCCCTGGTGTCCCTCCATGTTTGAACCTAACTTGTATCGTGTTCTTTGGGCGGTAGCACGCCCTTGTTAGGGTGCGTACTGCCAGCAACATGATGTTTATGTAATGTATATGCGTGTCGTTATGTTTATTGGCCTGGGTACTTTCCCCATACGCGTCGCTGTATAGCCCTATGCAAGATATCTATTAGTGTTTATATTTTTATGATATTATCTATCTCCTGGTTATATAGATAGATCACGTTAATGTGTATGTGTTTTATCCCTTAACTTCCAGTGTGATCACCTGCTGTTGGTCCGTTGCTACGTACGAGTCGCTAACAACGTACACTGTTAGTTCATGTTTCCCAGCGGTTGCAGGTGCCTCAAAGTCGATACTCAGTGTGTTATTGCTTTTGGGTAGCGATACGCGTTTGATGCCGAGTATACGCTTCAGTGAAGGCTCACCTACTACCACCCACCACTGTTCCAAACGTTCCAAGGGGAACAGTGGCGCGTGTACTGCGTTCATATCACCTTCGCGTTCTATGTTGAGTACCATTTGTACTGGTTGTTGCGGTGTTGCAGTTTCCGTACTGAGGGCGCATTGTACATTCAGCACAGACACGGCATTACATACCGCTGCGATACTTGCGCACTGCTGTGGTGTGAAACAACTGAGCAATCGATCCCTATCATCATCCTCCATGCTCATTAGATCGAATAGGTCCATGATACCTATTTTATTTGCTTGTTCAATCCATTTTTGGTTAGCGTATGGCAACTGCATTAGTGGGCTATCTGTTATATCCATAGCCTGTATCAATCTTTGACTTAGTTGCATAGCTAGCAATGCCGGCGTGAGCCATCCATTGCTGCTGAGAACATCCACTAATGCACATAACAACGGTGGTATCCTTTCTAGTATTACAGCTTGATCCGTTTGCAGATCGTTGGTTAGCGGTGTTCTTTGCATATGTGCTATTAGCAATTCTTTGACCTTATTCGTTACTTCAATCAATTGATGGGTGCCTATACGTTCTCCCGGTCTGATAACAATATCGTTAAATTCTTGTGCATTTGAAAGTAGCTCGATGATATAATATTTATCCGCATCTTGGGTGACGGATCGTGCAAATGTATCTATAGTTGAGCATCTCAGGTAGTAGAATGCTGAGATGTATCCTAGGTTTAGGGGTGCTACATGATCATCTGCAATAGATAGACATTGTGCTTTTTCCAGTCCTGAGAATGCTGATTCCACAATTTCACTCAGATGTTCGCTTAGATGTTGTGCACTAACTCCTTGTAAAGAGTAGAAGTTAGGATTCTTAGGTAACCGTCTGTAGTACAAAGTCCATGTAAGCCAATCTATAGCATCTTGTGCATTTTCCACTGCTCCTTGTACGATCTCCGCATTCATCAGTTCCTCTATCCTTGATTCCAAGCAGCTTTCTACGGGGAATGCATCTTCTAAAAGTTTGTATAGATGTCTCCGCTTACTAGTCTCATATAGTACCAAAGCATGTGGTTTTATAGTTTGTATGTCCTCTGGGACGTAGGCACAGCTCAACATACGTGATAGGTCACTTTGTGGGTATATTCCCTGCGATATTGGCCTATTGGTTGCGGATACCGAGACATCAGCAATTACTACCAGTGGCGCATGTACTGCCATTGACCATATAACCGAAGCTGTTAGAACTAATACTTTGATGGCTCCACGTCTAAATAGATCTTGCATTCCTTTAATTTCAGCTTCACTAAACCCTTCATGGCAATATCCCACCCCGCCTTCTACCAGTTTACCGAGGGCACGTTCTCGTGCCGTGAGTTTAGCAAAAGTGGCACTATGTTGTTCATCCATATAATTTTCTAACATTGCAGAGCCTGTGTGGTACTCCATAGCTAGTAGGATTTCCATAGCCAATAGTCTGCAGAACCTACGGTCTACTGTGAATATGAGAGCTGAGCATTCGTCATCACTATTTTCTCTGAATTGTGACAATACAAAGTTGCAAGCGCTATTAAACATTGCAAACCTTCTTGTTTCATTATCCCATTGATCGAACGATTGTATAGTGAATTTTGGCGCCACTACTCTATGTGAGTTTGGTCTGAAACTAAATGTTGTCGAACCGTTAGCTCCTATCCAACCTCCTATATCCAACGGATTCGATATAGGTCCAGCTAGTCCTATAATCCTGGTATGATAGTTTAATTGTGCCGCTATAAACCTCATACGGCTTATAGCGACTTCAATTTCTGGTCCCACAGTTTGGTCGTCTATTAATTCTAGATTTTCAACTATAAAAAGATCCACATTCTGTAGACATTGTTTACTTTTCCACCGCCTCGATACGAAATCCCATTGTTTCGGCGTACAAACTACTATGGTTGACTGTGCTATTGTCACAAGGTCTGTTTTTACATCCCCTACTAGTGCCTTAACTTGGCAAATATCCCCAAATTTATGTTGTAGCCTTTCTAAACGTTGGTTAACGACGCTTTTGAACGGTGAAATTACTACTACAGTAGCGTTTTCAGATGTACATAGGCACCTTACAATAGCAATTTCTGCACATGTGAATTTCCCACTACGACTAGGAGCGCATAGCAACACTGAATCCGATTGTGAATACACGGTGTCGAACACTCTAGTCTGTATAGCATTGAAGTGCTCTTCCCCAAAGGCCTTACGGAAGAATGTCCTATTTAACGTTATCAATTCTCCAGGTAAGTTCATCAATGATGATATTGGTCTTGGCTGTTGGTCGAAAAGTTCTGTGAAAGGTTGTGCTTTCTCTGGTAGTATAAGTCTGCTGAAGCTGATTGATACTTTCGAAGCGCTTCCTATCCATTTTTCCGAGATGACCCTCAGGAAATAGTGTGAGCATAGTGGGTGTGCTATTTCTACAGTGAAGAAAACGGATATATCTTCTATATTTCCAGTTGTGAAAGGTAGCAGGACAAACGTCTGGCTGTGTAATATTTTTTCTCCGCTTCCATCTTCAACAAATAGCCAAAATCGTTCATTACTGCCATGTAGTTTAGGGTCCCACTGGAAATCTGGCGTAACACTCACTTCTACCCTTAGCATTTCTCTTGTAATCGGTTGCACAAACACCTGTAGCTCTAACCTTGGTACTAGGTGTATTAATTTGTGGAGTGTTTTACCTAATTTTGGTTGTCTGCAGAGTTCACCTAGTTCCACACTACTCAGGTCATAATATCTATCCCACGTGAAATCGTTCCTCTCCAGCTTCAACATGAGCTCCTCAGGTAGTGACTTGAACTGTCGCAACGGCAGCATAACTGACCACATGCGTCTCTCTACCATTTTACAGAAATCGAATAGCCTTTGTGCCAATTGGCTCCACGAATTGCTGAGTGCAATTTCATACAGTGCTCTTAGGATACGGCCCGCATTTTGTGTAATAAATGTCATCTCGGATACCAATGCATATCCTTCAAGATCGAACCTTGATATGTAACTTTGTAATAGTACGGCTACTTTACTAGCTGGCTCTTGTTCATGGCCTCTAACAGGTATCGGTACCTTCTCCATCAATGCTGTTAATTCCACCTTTTCCTCATCACGTATCGGTATATATTTGAATTCGGCACTAGCAGAGAATACCTTCAATAGGTCGGGGTCAGATAAATCCGCTTTCATGTTGTCAACATATGTCTTGACAGAAGATGGTTTTAGGTAATATAGACTTGCAATCCTTCCAAGGGGTGTTGACTTGATAGAGCCACTACGTCGTTCATATCTTATCAATGCATGTTTATCAAGTTCTAACAAAGCAGTATGTGCCAACGACTCTAATCTTGCAATGAACATTTCTTCATCTATATTGGGTACATCTTGTTCCTCCCCTTCCTCCTCCTCCTCCTCTGCTGGTATAACACCATATAAACGTGGTTCTTTACGCATCCTTATAGCGAAATAGGTATCCTTTAGCCATGTGACAGCATCTTTGCGTGCCATTACGTTACCCAGAACTATCTCGGCATTTAGGAGATCTGGTAAGTTGCTTACTAGTTGACTTTCAATAGGTAGTTGTTGGTTATTCAGGGATAGATAAAACTGCAATTTACTATGTGCTGTGATAATTATCCCTTTGCCTTCCTTGTCGAATTGTGGTCTACCTGCACGTCCCATCATCTGCTGTACCGACAATGGGCATAGTTCAGTCCAACAGCCTTCTTCTGGTGAATATACCTGCGTGCCTTTGATGATAACTGTATGAGCAGGTAGATTTACACCCCAACTAAGCGTAGCGGTACTGATTAACAGTTGTATATGTCCATCTGAAAAAAGATCTTCTACAAGCTTTCGGTCAGACCGAGGTAGCCCAGCATGGTGTATCCCGAACCCATATGGCAGTAGCTCTTTTAGTTCCGCTGTTTTTATAGCTTCTGCTTCAGTAGCCAAAATTTCACGTGACGCACTATCACTGTGTAGGAACAAACTGAGGTTATCTGTTTTAAACGCCATATCCCTTATAAGTTTGGCTGTCCTTGCAGTTTCCTTTCTGCTATGTACAAAGACCAATATTTGGTTTTTACCTGCATCTTCCATAACACGTTCATAGACTATTTCGTTCATACAGTTGTAACGTTTCACTGCCTTTTTCTCCTTTATACCTATATAGCGTTGCTCGAGGCCCACTGGTCTATAATGGTTTCCAAAATAGAATAATCCACGTTCAGGGTTAACTTTAATAAACTCAGCGATATCTGCATAATTTGGCATTGTAGCACTTAGTCCAACTAATCTCGTCTTCAGTTTACTCTTCCTGTCATTGTGCATAGTCCTTGCTACTATCGATTCCAATACCGGTCCCCTTTTATCATGTAGTAGATGGATTTCATCAATGATTATGAGTTGTACTGTGTTCTCCATACCACTCCTACGTGTAACAACATCCCATTTTTCAGGTGTGACCACAAGTAGTTGTGTTTCCATCAACTGGTTTCTCGTTAAACTCATGTCACCGGTAAGTTCGCGTACACTCATCCCGTAAGGCGCGAACCTTTGTGAGAACGATTGTGCTTGTTCCATGACTAGCGACTTCATTGGCGATATATATACGATTTTGAAATCGTGGATATTGAGATGGCCGTTCTCATCCCTGTGTCTAGCCATGACACTTAGCATCGCCAGTACGGCGACATTCGTTTTACCAGCTCCTGTTGGGGCGCAAACAAGCATGTTCTCCTCAAAGTGCTCGAAAGCTACCTCTGCAATTACAGACTGTACAGGGTTGAGCGAGTCTACCCCTGGGAAAGCGGCATGTGTCCATTCTGGTAGATGTTTGATTGATTTCCTTTGAAGATCTTTCGGTCTTTCTAGAGGGTATATAATCAATTCATCGTATGACTTATGTTCTATTCTTTCCGATTCCGGTGGTAACACCACCTTTGTGTTAGTCATGTGTTGTGCTCCATCTTTGAAAGCCAGTGCCTCTAGGTCAACCACCATGAGTTGTCCTGTGGTACTCGTATCCGAGGGCGTTGGTACAGCTTCAGGTATAATATCTTCTTGGTCGTCATCTAGTTCATTTCCTTCACGTTTAGCGTTTTGCCGTGCAAGGTTCGACGCTTCACGTGTTACATTGAGTGTCAGTTCTTGGTCTTTAGTTCGTCTCAAATGAACTTCTTCCAGTTCCTGTAGTACATCCATGCCTTCTTGAGATTGTCGCATTTCATCGAAAATAGCTTCCTTTTCTGTATCATTTTGTGCCTGCCCCAGCCTAGTACAATACATAATTTTCCATCTATTACGCAATACTAATTTGGCGAATTCGAAATTTTCATACTTTAGGATCAAAACTAGCTTGTTTTCGCATTCCTGTACATCGGGTATGCCAAGAGCGGATAATATCTCCTTTTCCGTAGCAACTGCTAGATTCGGATCGCCAAATATAAGATTAAGTTCCCTTTGCAACCAATGTGGATCTATTTTACTGATTGCAAGATGATACTTATCAGTTTCATTATATTCCGTGCCTTCACGTCGTATTGTTTGTATATGTGATTCTGCATGTTCATCTTCTTCATAGTCATCGTCTACACTATGTACATCCGAGTCCTCGAGATCATCTTCATCAAAAACTACAGCTATTCCTGATGGATTATCAGTGACATCAGTAGATTCCCTAGGCTCATCACCACCTCCGAAATCTACTAGGTCCTTGGTAGCGTGGTATAATCTGTAAAATAGATCGTCATCCACAGGCCCGAGTATCTCCTCACACAATTTCCGTCTCTCTTCTGCTTTTAGTCCGGGTGATCTAAGATGTGTCATTACCTCGTCGAAAGCATCCTTCAGTACATCCTGTGGCTGGTCTACTAGCATCTTCTGTAGTAGATTGAGTATCTCTTCGTACTTGCCACGTGTCGCGAGAGAAGAAGGCACGTAATGACTTCCATCGGTAATCTCTACATTTAATACAGATTCACCTTTTTTAAGGTCTAATCTTGTACGTCTATGTTTTATAGGCCCTTGTCCAGGTGCGGTGGTCTGTAGCCGTTTATTCTCTCCTTCTTTCGTTGGCTTTGTGTACGACACCTTATCACCCATCTTATACTTGAGCCTATTGGCAAGAGATTCCGGTTCACCCGTAGTTTCACTTGACTTTGGCCCATGACTGTCGCGCTGTAGCACGAGGTTTGAGTTCTGCACATCATTATAAGCATATGTCCATTATTGCTTACCGTGCGATATTCGAAGCGCTTGAAACGCTCATATTGCTCCGCCATTGTGACTACTGAGGGTTCGACGTGTGCTCGGATAAGCGGTTCAGACTCTCAATGACGAGAGTCTGATAAATCCCGCCGTATAATGACGGTTAGCGTAGAATAGGTAAAGAAAATGATATTAAAAAGTGATTTATAGTCGTAACAAGGTGTTTTTTTCTAATTTCTCTCCCCCACAGTTACTTGCTCTTAAGGATTCCATACCTCCGCGGTATATACCTAAATAATTACGGCACATATGACATAAATCAATCTTTCTAAACATGATCAAGCTGTTATCGCAGATATTATGTGACAACGGGCGCCACTGTGGTAACGTTATTGTCCTAATCTCACGGGATGTTTGAAGCTATATTACCCGGATTCCACGTCGTAAATGGCAATGTGTAATCGCAGCTTGGTTGTACCCGGTGGTTATGGTAGCGTTTAGGCGTATTGGTGTAGTATTAGCGGTTCTAATCGCGTGGTCACGCTCAGTGCTCTATCTAACTTAGACACGCGTTATGATGAGGTCTAAGAAAGAGGTACGGTTCTCAGATACAGATGATTTGCATCACTATTCGGTTGCACGTGATGCTGCATCTGTTGATGATATTAAAGACAAATGGCGCATTTTACCCTGTTATATGGGCATGCGCGGGATCGCAAGACAGCATATAAACTCTTACAATAATTTTGTTTTACGCGAAATCAAAGAGATCGTAAACGCGCCAAGCAACAAGATGTTAAAGAGCGATGCTTGTAAAAAGTTCTACATTGAATTTATAGATATCAATGTCGGGGAACCTTATATGTCGGAAAACAACAACAAACCTATACTACTAACACCTCAACTTTGTCGTATGCGTGATATCACATACAGTGCACCGATGTATGTGGACGTCGAGTACTACAACGGAGAGGGTGTGGCATCGAAACGCGTAGAGATTGGGAGACTCCCAGTAATGCTCCGTAGTTGTGTCTGTGCACTTTCTGGTGGTATGCGTCGTGGTGAGGAAGTAGATAACTTTGAGATTTCATCGCGGCTCGGAGAATGCCCATATGATCCTGGAGGCTATTTTATCATCAAGGGTGTCGAGAAGGTGATATTGATGCAGGAACAACTTTCCAAGTGCCGTGTCATCGTGGAGACCGATGTTAAGAAGAATATCTGCGCAACAGTAACCTCTGCCACTGCCGAATCCAAAAGCAGGACTGCAGTGGTGTACAAGAACCAGAAACTATATGTGCGCCATAATAGTTTCACAGATGATGTCCCTTTGTGTATAATACTGAAAGCTATGGGTGTCACTACCGATCAGGAAATAGCGCAGCTTATAGGTACAGCGGGAGCACGTGACTTTTTACCTACCGGGGGTGATTACATACTTTCATTTCAGGACCTTTACAATGAAGGTATTAATACCCGCATGGACGCATTACTATTCGTTGGACGCAAGGTAAGACCACGCCCTCTAGCAAAGGGGTTCTTCACTAGCTCCAAGGAGAGGATGCCGAAAACTAACCAGAACCTTATAGAAGATACCCATGATATTCTTACGAGGGTGCTGCTGTCACATATCCCTATGCGCAATTGTCGCGATTTTTCTGGTAAAATTAAGAGCCTCTGCCTAATGGCACGCCGGGTACTTTCCGTAGCCAGTGGTAAGGAACCTATGGACGACAAGGATCACTATGGTAACAAGCGTCTTGAGTTAGCAGGTCAGCTTATATCTATCCTTTTTGAGGATTTATTTAAGGCATTTTTGGGACAATTAAAAAAACAGATAGATGCCACACTAACACGGCACTATGAGATTGTATCAAACTGTCATAGCGGGGAACAAACGAAATATCCAGATTGTTTAGTTAGCCTCCCAACCGATATTATTACAAGAGGTATGCAAGCAACAATATCCACAGGTAACTGGAATATTAAACGGTTCCGTATCGAGAGGAGCGGTGTATCCCAAATATTATCTCGTCTATCATATATATCATGTTTGGGTATGATGACCAAAACCAATTCACAGTTTGAGAAGGGTCGTAAAGTTAGTAAGCCGCGTGCTTTGCAACCATCGCAATTTGGACTTATATGCCCGTGTGATACACCCGAGGGAGAGAGTTGTGGTCTTGTGAAGAACCTTAGTCTTATGAACCATGTAACAACAGATGGTGATATTGAGAGATTGGTTGAATTGCTATACTGGTTGGGCGTGGAATCGGCGGATTCATTGTCGGCCCGTGACTCGTTTGACGATGATCGTAACATGACCGTCTTTCTAAATGGGATTATAATAGGTGTCCACCAGAACGGCAAGGAGCTTATCCGTAACGTGGTGTCTCTGCGTCGCCGTGGCAAGATCAGTGCATTTGTATCTGTATTTGAAAACTATCAGCAACGCGAGGTACACATATCGTCTGATGGCGGTCGTTTGTGCCGGCCGTTGATAGTTGTCGAGGACGGGCGCCCGTTACTGACACCTCAGATTTTGCGTCGTCTGGTTGACGGTGAGATACCGCTTTCTACACTATTTGCCTCGGGTATCTTGGAATGGATCGATGTGAATGAAGAGAACAATTCATTGATAGTTATGAGGGAGAGTGATATAACTAACAAGACAACTCACTTGGAGATAAGTCCAATGAGCATGTTAGGTGTAGTTGCCGGTCTTATACCGTTCCCCAACCATAACCAGAGCCCGCGTAATACATATCAATGTGCCATGGGTAAACAGTCGATTGGTAGTATAGGTTATAACCAGTTGAACCGCTGTGATACTATTTTGCATTTGATGGTGTACCCACAGCGTCCCTTAGTGACCACGAAGGCTATCCAGTTGGTGAATTTTGATAAGCTCCCTGCAGGTCAGAACGTGATCGTTGCCGTTATGAGTTACCAGGGTTATGAGATTGAGGACGCTATAGTGATAAACAAGGCGTCTAGTGAGCGTGGTTTCAGCCGTTGTTATTCACTGCGTCGCGTTACTGTGGAGATGGAGAAGATAAACTATGCAACGGATCGGCCTGGTTTGGGTCCCTTGAATAGTGCACATTCTCAATTACACGCAGCAGCTCCCGTTGATGAGTTGACTGGTGACAGCGTGATCGGTGTGGGTCAAAGGGTGAAGAAGGACGACACGTTGTTGAAGAAGCTTACGCAGTCTTCTACGGGCCAGATAAAGGTTACTGATATCAAGTACCAGTTTAACCAGCCGGCTTACGTAGACCGTGTTATGTGTATCACTACAATAGCTGAGAGTGTGATGTATAAGATAATGCTGCGTCAAGTAAGGTTACCTGAGATTGGTGACAAGTACAGCAGTCGTCATGGTCAAAAGGGTGTTGTGGGTTTGATTGAGAGTCAGGAGAACTTGCCCTTCAGTGAGCACGGCTGGGTGCCGGATCTCATAATGAACCCTCACGGGTTCCCTTCTCGTATGACCGTGGGTAAGATGCTAGAGTTGGTTGCTGCCAAGGCTTCTGTTTTGAATGGTATATTTGAGGATGGTACCCCTTTTGAGACCGATTCGTTACCGAGTATCGAGCGTAGTTTGTTGCGTAAAGGCTACCACCCAGCGGGTAAGGAGATTTTATACTCTGGTATAACCGGGGAGCCTATCGAGACGTTGATATTCACGGGTCCCATGTACTACCAGAAACTGAAGCACATGGTATCTGATAAGATCCACGCAAGATCCGTTGGCCCACGTCAATCTCTAACTCGCCAACCAACTGAAGGTCGGTCTAAAGATGGCGGTTTACGTTTAGGTGAGATGGAGCGTGATTGTCTGATAGCGTATGGAGCTAGTGGTTTATTAGTTGAGCGTCTTATGCTGAGTAGTGACGTTTTTCAGATGGATGTATGCCACGTTTGTGGTTTCATCGGTTACGACGGTTGGTGTGCTTACTGCAAGCAGCGTGGTCAAACTGCCACCGTGTCCATCCCTTATGCCTGCAAGTTATTGTTTCAGGAGCTCCAGGCTATGAACATTCGGCCCAATATGATTTTGAAGGAAGGCATGAGCAGTCAATAGCACTGTTTCAATGTGTAACAGTTTGAATGGTCATGATGTATTTGATTACACCCCTAGCAAGCGTGTCGCTGCTTTAGCTCTATATTCCATAACCTTTAGCGCCACTATAGCGATGTATGCCCGTAGATGTTGGATGTGCATAGATTATAACGCGAAATATGCCGGTTTAATCTCCTGCTATGGGGGACTGGCAAGGCGCGCGGGACACTACTCCCCCATAGACATCCTGTGCTTAGCGCTAACGGCGTGGCCCTCATTAACATAACACCGACCGTATTAGCGAAGATAGTCGCTTTGAAATCAAGGGTAGGCGTTAAGGAGTTAAGACTGTCACCTATTATCACTATCGTTGTCGTTGCCGTGAAGAGTCGCTACGAAAATGGGTTCCGGTAGGTTATATAACAATTTCTTCCACGAAACATTTTCGCGTAGGTGTACCTCGTGGAATGTTAGCTGCGCGTAAGCTTAGAAACCGCAGGAGACGTGAAAGATGGGCTGATAAAGCATACAAGAAGGCACACCTTGGCACAAGATGGAAATGTAACCCTTTCAAGGGTAGCTCCCACGCTAAGGGTATTGTTGTCGAGAAAATAGCCATCGAGGCCAAACAGGTAGGTACCGTAAAACCATTAGTTAGGTTCTATCATCAATGGAGCTTTATCTATCCCAAATCGTGTTACCCAAGGATGCAACTCTGTCACTGGGTGTCAAAAATTTGGGAAGAACATATACAAAATTGTCATGTAAAAGGAACCAGCATCCGCTGGGGCCTGTGACTCTATTTTGTTACATGTTGTTTTTTGAAAAAAATAATAACCGGTATCTTGTGGTTTAGTGACAAACGGTTTTACATATTGAAATGTATCTATGTATTCACATTCGTACAGCCCAACTCCGCTTACCGTAAGAGTGTACGTGTACAGCTCATCAAAAACGGTAAAAAAATTACCGCGTTCGTACCGAGGGATGGTTGTTTGAACTACATCGACGAAAACGACGAAGTGCTTGTAGCCGGGTTCGGACGCAGTGGCCACTCCGTTGGTGATCTTCCTGGTGTCCGTTTCAAGGTGGTCAAGGTAGCAGGGGTGTCACTTCTCGCTCTTTACAAAGAGAAGAAGGAGAAGCCCAGGTCATAGACACTAGATTTAATCATGACAAACCCTCTCTAGTATTAGATAAAAGCTAAATATATAACATAAATTAGCATACCGGGGACGTTATGGGCCCTGGTCCTGTCCAACTATGAACAGAGGTCGAGTGGGCCTACCCCGGCCAATGTAACAATCTAGGCAAGTAGATGCCTTACTATTGTGTATTTTTTTAAAGGATGGGTAGGTGTGTACGCGGGGAAAAGTTCAGTGATGAGAGGAAGAGCAACCGTGGAAGTTACCGGTGAAACTGATAGACACATTGACAACCATATGTGTCAACAGTACGTCGTCTGGTTAGGTGACAGAATATTTGACCATGGCAATGACGGCCAACGGATTCCGACCTAGACCTCCCGAGGATGCCGCCACCCCACGTTATGAAAGGGACCGTCGAGGCCAAGGTTTATTAAAAACACAGGAAGTTTTCAAGGTATCCGGTTAATTGGTAAGTTTAAGGAATAACATATATGCCCTTTCACGTTGGATGTGACCGTAAGTAACATGAGGAGACGACACCACCCGTTGTGCGGGTGGCCCGGTTCTCGGCAGTTTACGGCCAAAGTTGATGACAGACGAGCATATTGACACGTTGTCTATGGTCAGATGCGCCAATATGAGGTCGTAGGTTGAGAATACCGAGGTAATCCAAACATCTCCACTAGACGGAACTGGGGAAATAACATGTCGTACACCTTCATACCCATTTAATAAACGTGGCCATTATATAGTAGTGTTGAATTAACTTATTGCGTCGAGGCCGTTAATATTTTGCAGAAACTCCGTTAGGACGGAATACCAAGTCGCCAAATTATAGTCATCGTCGTAAAAAAATAGGATAGGAAGTCATGGCACTGGTAGGTTAACTCTGCAACCTATATAAAAAATGGGATAATAAGTGTAATTTGCTTGGTTTTGATAGTGACACAGGAACGGTTTCTCATCAAAAGCTTCCGAGGCTTACCCAAGGAGAAGTGCAATGAAGGACTACAGAAGAAGATGGAACGCAATGCTGAATTGCGACAGATACAGCAACGGAAGATAGCCAAACATCTGGAAAGAAGAAGAAAGAGACTAGCAGGACTTAAACAACGCGCTCTCTACCATGCAAAAGAGTACATTAAACGTGACCGTGAACTTGTCCAACTGCGCCGCCAGGCAAAAGCTGAAGGAGCATTCTACAAGGAGGCTGATGCCAAGGTTGTATTTGTTGTAAGGATCAAGGGTATCAACAAAATCACACCAAAACCAAGGTTGATCCTCAAGTTGTTCCGACTACTTCAACTACACAATGGTGTGTTCATCAAAATGAACAAGGCTACACTAGAAATGCTCAAATTAATCACACCATACGTCACTTTCGGGTACCCAAGCTTGGCTACCATCAGAAAGCTACTCTACAAAAGAGGATACGCCAAAGTAGGGAGGAGAGGCGCATGGAGCCGTGTGCGTATTAGCAATGACCACATTATCGACGAGCACCTAGGCAAATACGGAGTACACGGAATGGAGGACATTGTACACCAGATATACACATGTGGACCAAGATTCAAGGAAGTCACCAACTTCCTATGGCCGTTCAAACTGAACTCACCAAGAAAGGGATTCGTAGCAAAGAGACACGGGTTCGCCGAAGCCAGAGGCGGGGATGCCGGAAACAGGGAACACCTTATCAACGAGCTGCTCGTAAGGATGATATAATCGGACAGTTGGTAAATTGTGATTTTCACATTAATGTATGTATACGTCATGCGTCCATATTCGTTGTTTCATGGCGGTACCGTGGCCCGTGTGTGTGGGGAAGCATCGGCGATGTGTAGGTCGTTCACTTGATACCTTTTTGAGGGGATACGCCTCGTGTAGCTAGATAACTTTATACGGGGCCTGGGAGGGCCCGGAGTAGTCAGTAGGTGTAGGTACCACGATGAGTCCGCACCGCGGGATGGAGCAATGCCAGCTTCTTGGAAGGAGCGAGCTGATAGCATGGGTTAATGCCGCTATCGGAGTTAATATCGAGCGTATAGAGCAGTGCTGCAATGGCGCTATATACATACAGCTGTTAGACCTAGTACACCCGGGAAGAGTACCTTTAGCAAGGGTCAAATTCAACGCTGCACTAGAATATGAATATCTCGCAAACTACAAAGTACTCCAGACAGTATTCACTAAACTTGGAATTGCCAAACATATAGATGTGCAAAAGCTAACACGTGGAAAATATCAAGATAACCTTGAATTCTTACAATGGATTAGAGGATATGTCGACGCAAATAGGACAGTGGAAACCGTGGAATATGATGGCCCTAGAAGAAGAGTCACCGCTGTAATAAGGAATTGTATCGCAAATAATACCACGGTACATCTAAATCTAGGCAGCGTAACTAATGCACTGCCGCATTGGGCACAAGAAGGGGTCACAGTACCACTAATCAAAGAGTGCCTAGCGAGCGTTAAAGCAACGCCACAACAAAAAACAGAGGACAATAACCGCGCGGTACCATCCGACACAATACAGGCGGTACGCCGTGCCCACAGCATCACTTCCTCTACATCTGGACATGATGCAAAAACAAGAAGGGTAGATCAAAAGTGTACACAACGGAGTCAACACGGGGACACTTGCTCGAGAACTAGCACCGCAGATACCCATAACAAAGATACAGATTCTGTGAAAGGGATCGAACGAACGGATACAGTGACGACAAACATTGACACCGCTGTATCGTTACACGAAGAATCACACAAGATTAGTGAACTTGAATCGTTATTGGAGTCACAGAGGCGTCATTCTGAAAAGCTAAATTTGGTAATACAGGAGCATGAAAGCGAAATTACACAACTTAAACAACAAATTGAACGCCAGAAGGAACAGATAGACAACCTAAAGAAACAGCTGGGACAGGCCCAGGCTGAAAAGCAAGTGGCGAAGATGAGCAAAGATTTCTATTATAATAAACTCAGAAGGATAGAAATATTATGCCAAAAAAATGAAAATGGACAATGTGAAGTATCGGCACTTTTCGATATCATGTACGCTACCGATAATGTCATTTGAACCCAATTCACCAAAATGGATGTATATGTAAAAATAGTTAGTATAATGTCATCACTGATTAACATGCTTGGGGACATCAGGCGTGGAACAGCTGCTTGAACTCTTCGTAAAGTTTAGCGTTGTTCTCAGCCAAAAGCTGATGGGCACTAGCAAGGGCCTCCTCCTTGGTTTGGAGCTGAGCGTTGAACTTTCGGATGATACCCACAACAGTGTTCAAATCTTCAGGGCTCAAGGTTGCCTTGGCCACAGTAACAAAATTACGACCATCCACTGTGCCTTTCTCGGTGCTGCAAAAAATATGATATGCTGAAAGATGGTATGAGCAACGTACTTCAACTTGGTAGTAGGGGTGGTGTTAGCAGTACCGCTGAAATGTGGCTTGCCGTTGAACCTTTTCATGAAGGAGTCCATGGTGTCGACACCAGAGAGTTCTGCAGACATATATGGACCACGAAGAGTGTATGTACTTGCCTATCATGGTACGGGGTGCGGTGCTGTGAAGCATGTCATCGGTGTTGTAGTATTTGTAATCCAAATCGGCGTCACCACGGTCCTCCTGAATCGAGTTAAGCACGGCCCTCTTCAGTGATTCTAGACGGTCAATCTCACGTTGCAACTTCTTAATGGTAACAACCAGGTTACGGTTCTCCTCAGCCAGTTGGTTGCCACGCTGAGTGCACTCAATCAGCTGCACCTCAAGACTGCTGTACTTCTTCTGGAAGGCAGCAAGCTGCATACAGATGAAGCAATATACACAATGGGCATTTAACCCGAAATAATCGTTTATATACACAAAGTAACAAGTGTTATTGTGATATTATGGGCATTTAACGCTATACAGAAACACTGCACCAACCTGTTCAGCCTTCTCGGAAGCTGCGGCACGCACTGTCCTAATCTCAGCCTCCAACGACGTTACGCGCGTTTTGTAAGCGTTTGATATGATCCTGAAACCAAGGGCCAATTGTTCTGTAACACATTGAAGGAGAACATATCAAACAAAAGCTAACCATCGGCATCAGAGGGCAACCAACTGAGGTCTAGCGATGAGATATCCATTTTAGAAATTAGGTAGATGTTATACAATGACAAATATAGACGGGTTTCAATGTGCCAGCTATTTGCGGCTGCGAACTATTAGACAAACTACTTAGCAAGTTGCGATTAACGCACTCATACACATTCAAGGCTTAGAAAAGCACTCTAAGGACCGGTTACACAAAGACACTGGATACGGACTAAAGTTTGTATAAAACTTTCAAATATAAACTATTGTGGAATAGACCGAACCTGCAAGGGAAACCCAGGAGCACAGATGCACAGAGATGCAGCTGTACACATCTGGGTAACATCTGGGCGTACAATAGAAGAAAACTCAGGAAATGTGTGTAAGGGTCAAACAAAAACAGATCTAATAAGAAATTCAATCTAAGTAAACTATAACAGGCACCCACAACTAATCCATGCACCAAACGAGTGTGCGCGTAAATGGCATCGAAGAACATTTAGACATGCCAAACATATATATATCTAAGAACTTGTTTAATATAAGACACTTTTTAGAGATAGTGGCACTAATGTAACCCAATTGTAGTCGGCACTCCGTAGAAGGCCAATGCACATACACCATCAAATCTAGTTAGGTTACAATACGTGATACCGAATAAAGGAAACTGACCATGGCCAAACGACTAACACTATGGGTAGGCAGATTTGAACGTTGTATCTTTCAATCGCCAACGTACTATATCAATCTATTACGCCGAAGATACAGACACTCGAAAGCTGACTACGATGACGTTCTTCCTCAAGATGAATCCAAAGGATACGATGCCAAAAAAATGGCAAAACTATTCGATAATGTTACACAAACTGATGATGATATAGGACTAGTTACCGTTGATATCAATGGGTTGGCCTCGTCTATCGCCGGAGCATGCTGGCATAAAAGTGCCCTTGGCGAATACATCACGCAAGAAAACCATACGGACTACAATCATGATGCCGATACTACACGGGAAGAGACGAAAGATGCGTTATTAAGGGAAATGAAAAAACTGATGCAAAATGATAAAATGGCAAGGGAACGGATCAAGGAAATATTCAAAAAAGAACAAAAACTCAACATAGATGGACGCGTACATCAAAATAAAAAAATATCTACAATGAAATTATTACAAATAGCTAGTGATATTAGTACAAGACAACCAGCCCACGGAAAACCACAAGAAGATGAACAACGAACAAAACGAGAAAGAACATATTACAAAAGACTCAGAAACATGAGAACAGATGCACCGAGACCAGAAACAGAACAATTCTATCGCCAAAAGAACAGTTCGGGTACAGAAATAGTTAGGGTGTTGGATATAGATCAATTGCCATTACCATTACTACATCACATGGTATGCTATACCCTTGTGAAGCATACACCAGCTGAAAATGTAATAAAGGTAATATCAAGAATCGCAGCACTCAGAGATACCCAAAGCCATGTAGCATACCAGAATTTACTCAGAGATATAGGGAACATTGTTAGCCCACTCTGCAGAGCTGAAGTAGTCGCACTACTGGCACGTGGCTACCAAAGTATAAGCGTACCTTTTATGGTGGACTATGTACGTAGGTTTGGCACCTTCTCCCGCAGATTCGTGGCAAAATTGATACAAAAACAAGCACAACCACTGGCACTGGATTTCCTCAGATACAAAGCCGGACAACGAACACCTAACCAAATATTAACAAGGCCATGGGCACTACTAGGATATGTTAAGATGCTCAAAAGGTCATCAGCTAAAACTTACATGTACCACAACCTAATCGCAAGAGGATACGTACCGGATGAGTATGCATTCGACAGGTTCCACGCATTCGGAACTTTGGACCCGAACATCGCAAATACTATTCTCAACTCTGAACGACTACTTAACGATACTGTAGAATTCAATGCAAAAACAAATGAAAAGGAACAGATAAGGCCGAAGATTCTCGACGACGTACTAGAGGCTCAAGCGCTCGGACTACCACTGGAAGATGTACATGAAGAATCCGCGGCATTCGAAGCAGAGACGGCGGCACCAGCACGGACAAGTACACAATTCGTAAAGATACAGCAACATGTTACGCACAAACAACAGCCGGCGATAACACATGGATACCTAGATGTAGATGAAAAGCTACCAACAGACAGAAGTAACATCTCCTGGACCATACCTTGGGGTCGTAGACGTGATACGTTCCACTTCAGAGGTAATGTTAACAATCTAAAGTAGACAAACCTGCAGGTAAAAGTTACCTCCTAGACCCTAACCACGGATGGAAGGTCACACGAAGCCCCGTGAGGATACACTACCTCAAAAATGTACAAATGAACAAACGTAAACGACTACGCAAAGCTCTGCGACTCAAAGTCGCAAAACTTGCAAGAAAAACCATTGATACAAACAGCAAGTAGTGTACAATATTAAAATTTTGTTGCGATTAATGCGCGGTATACTTCTTTACCGCATTGGCGAAATACTCAGAGTTGAACCAGAGGTAGCCTGAGACGTTCAAAGCGAAAATGCTTGTACCCCAAAATAACGCAGGCCAGGGACGGTAAGAGTTCCTGAACACGTAGCCTACGCTACGCAAGGATAATGATAGAGGTGACTTAATTTTCGACATCACGAGATCTATATTGTCTGCCGAGGCAATATATTGCGACGCAACACACCCCATACCACTCAAAGGGTACATGTGCTCCGTGCTCAACCAAATCGAGCCAGAAATATCTAGGAACAACATAAATACATCTACTACTATATCTACACACCAGATGTAGCGACAGTCTACCCACTAGGTTGATACGCAAGGTACAAAGCGAACCAGGTGGCGTCGACGCTCGAAATATGGATCGATTTCCTCCGTAGTTGGAACGTATGGCAGAATCTACTATGAATAATCGATGTGTAGATGTTGCCAAGGTCAGATCAGCACGGTGATGCGGAAATCGTAACCGATATCAAACGATGTGTAACACTGTGTAACTGGTACTAAGCTAATTTCCACCGCTGATATATATACAATCGACAACTGTAGATTGAGATAGTAATAACACTCAGGCAATATTGCATAGCACTAAGGATAGGTTCATTACTGTACTGTTATCGCCTTAGGGTCGAGACTTGCGGTCAACATCAGATGTTTGACCGTAGGTGTCAGAAATGGTGTCTTCAACTAACTGACCTAAATCGCCAGATGAAGAACCCGGTTTCTCACCGAACATAAGGTCATTTTTATCGATCTCAGCAATTATCGATTTCAAATCACTCTGCTCACCGTAAATGTGAATTATAATACGCCACTTCAACAAGTCCCAATTAGCTGATAAATCTGTGCCATCAGATGTTATACCAAAATCAACACCGTACATATCAATAAAGGTACGCTTAACCTCATCAGAAGGACACCAATCTGCAAATTTACGTAAAGATTCATCAGCTAACATATGTAGCTCTGATTTTGAAGCAGATTCAAGATCAGATGTTGTAAAACGACGACCTGTCAAAGATTTAGTAAGCTCAATAATACGCTTAAGCTTCTTTTTAGATTGGTTCACCTTGTATAAACCCTTAGTAATCAACGTGCGAGGATCAAGACCTGTGCCAAGACCTTTATCCTTAATAACCTGACATAGCAACATGCGATTCTCATAGTCAGAGTTACAAGAAGATGAAACCGGCTCCTGACCCAAAAGACGTAAAAGTGATAGGACCTGATATTCGGCCAATTTCGGTACGTCTGAACGACGTAATAACCAACCGCTACCAGGTAACTTTATACACTCGTCATAAAGGGTAGTACGGGGGAATATTTTCAGGTCATCAGAAATTGTACGACGACGTATATCTTCTAACACGTTACCGACACCCAGAGAACCACCAGATGAGCTATCAGCACTGACGCTACCAGGCCCTTTACCGACCAACACTTCAGCACGTTGTGGCTCAGAGGAAGTAACGGAGAACCTATTCGACGTGACACTATCAGATGACGATGGACCAAGGGCTGTTGCCGAACCAATGCCACTATCGGTAACCGAACTGGACGATCTCTTTGTCCGAGGCAACTCATCGCCAGGTTCACGATATCCTCCAGGATCATCGAAACCGTGGTAACGGGTACCGTGCTTGTCAATATCAGAACCCCGCAAAAACTCACGAACAAGCTCATGGTAAGGAATAGGAGATTCAGCAGGTGGCGGCTCAGCAGCATCCTGCTCAAGAACAAATCTGGACGTTCCAACCTTCAACTTTTGATTACCAACAACTGGGATACTACCGGCATATAAACTACTAGCTTCAACTTTACGGCGACCATCCAACCAAGATGGTTGAACAGCAACACGTTGAAATAATTCCTCATCACCCACACGCTGCGGTGTTTCTGCATCGTTTACAGTAAACAGAGCATAAGAATCCACCAAACGACGCTCCCACCATGCCACCTTGTCATCGCTCACAGAGGAATCCATTGTCAAATAAACAAGAGAACGCTCAGGACGACCGTCACTCACATTCAAGGACGTAAAAGGATCACCAAAATGCTCTCGCCATAAATCCTCATCAAAAGGAGATTGAGCAGTAGTAGTACGCAACTTCTCAACATACAAATTCAACTTTATACCAGGAAATAGTACAAGGTCCTTATGACGCAACCATTCACGCTGTTGACCCGCAATACCGATATTACGCGCTATACGGTTACGCATCAAAACACAAAACACACGCTCTCGGTAACCTCCCAAGTGCTCGGAAATACCACAGTCTAACAACAAACCGTTCCGGTAGATGTGAGTAACCACACCACAGACACGAGAACCCGTTTTCAAAACACTGATGTCAGTAGCAGGTATATCCACACCACGTTTCATCACAAGCAAATTGGGTGATATGTGGTTACGTTTGGCAGGCTCACGACGGAAACCGGTATGGTAGTATTCCAAATACGCAGACTCAGTCAGACGATACATGGGAATATAACGCAACCCAAGAGGTTTACCGGACATCTCACGGTGGAGACGATCACGCTCAGATATGTTACTGCAACGTACATAAGCATCACCAGTAAAACAACCGTTCTCGTTCTTTATCAAAACTACGTACACAATGTCGTAAGACGAAAGCCAGCTACGCAAATCATCTTCGGTAGTCTCATAAGGCAAACCTTTCAAATACAGTAACGCATCATACATACGCTCATGCGACTCTGCAGGAGCTGGTAAACGATTACGCTCACGAGGACGCTCAATACGCATCACAAACTCCTGTAAACTGGCAGCACGTAAGTCCTCCTTATTAGGTTGGTCATAACCCAATTTAGCAAGACCATGCATAACAGAATGGTCGCTTTCAAGACGCTTATTCACCTTCTTGCCACGATTAACCTGGGTAGCACGACGACGCTTCTTGACCAACGATGGATCAAACGTAAACCTATCCGAGGCAAATAACTGATTAGACGTTACAGAATCAGATGCAGGTGCACTGGAAACGAACAGAAGTCGACGTGGGCTCTCTAACATTGCCATTGCTCGCATAGGAATCAAGGAGTACCTGCGGAGCTCCAATGTTAAGGCAATGCTAGAAAATAATGCCAACGCGAAGTAGACACGCACGCTGCCACCAAGATAACACAACACATTTATACACATACTAGGATGGCCGCTATATACGGTCTAGCGGAGCAATGGAGCCAACACAGCCTTCCATAGGCGCCAGGGCGCCGCGAGAGGAGACCTACGCGCCACACCTTGATCGATGACGATCCCAAAATTATGTATACAGGTATATAGAGACAGTTAAAAGGATATGTATAGATATATTAATGATGCATATTACATTATTCAAATGACCTTTGGAGTGCAAACAAGGAAAGGCCAACATATCGGAAAAGAAACCTATTCCTGCCCTGTCTTCATCGCAGATGCCATACCTTCCAAACGTTTCAGGATAAAGTATTGCGTCTCCACATTACGCTGAGCACAGCGCCAAAGACATGCTTGTTGAGATGTAGTCAAAACCTCACCAGGAGTGCTCACGCAACGCTCAAAGCACACACCTAACATCTTCAATGTCAACTTCTGCGATTGAACAGCCTTCTGAAAGGATAAAAGAGCCTATAACAAAATTAATATAAGAAAATGATGTCACAAGAGAAACATACCTCAGCCTTCTCCTTGTCATCTTTTATGGTAGATAATGATGACGGCAAATCCATTGTAGAACCAAACACCCCCGAATATAGTTATGTGTGTATAGAACGCAAATTCGGGATGGCTCCAAAAGGAATACTCCCACAATTTACACTTTAGATCGACACTGTGGTGCCAAGAGGTAACACATATAATATCTACTCAAACGACACACATATACATACACATGGGACAAATAGGTAACCAAAAATAGAAATTACACATAATTAAAACAATGACTTGCCTGAAGAATAACGGTCGCGACATATACGACCGACTTGATATATACCAGTTAAAGCCATAGCAGCGTTCACTAAGTATAAATATAGGAAACAATATAGAGATGAACTAACCTGCCAAAAGGTTGTAATTTACAGGAGTTATCACTGTACTGTAACGAGACCAAATAACACCAGTACAACTCACAGCTATAACACATACAGGTAACATGACAAAAGAAACGTACCCAATTGTTGAGGCAAAGACATCTTATCAGTAGGACGATTTATATCAGAAAGATTGGCGATGGATATTCCCCATTTGAAAGTTGGAGCATAAAAATGAATTGTCATAGGACCAGCAGGGTGGACTACAAACCAAAGTAAACAAAGTAAAACAAAGATAATCAACATACCGATTATTGACTTCACACGATCTGGAAGTGGAAGTGACAATATCTTCGCCTGCAATGCAGGGACAAAACCAGGGTAAAACAACTTGCACAAAATACCAGACATTGTAGTCCTAACTTATAGTAACATAACAAAATAGGTACACACTGCTAAATTACAAATTGTAGATTAGATAAGACACGTCATGCGCCCACCAACTTCCACAACTTTATGTACTCGTCGTCTCCCACACTAGCAAAAAATTTGTCAAAAGAATGACGATTCCATGATACGGCATTCACATCAGAACTATGAGCTTGAAACTAAATCGATGTGTAATAACATAAATAGGGAAATACCTCAATACGTGATTCGCGACTTTCGGCGTCAGGACACATTATCTTCACCATGTTGTCACCACCGCCCTAAACAATATAACACATATAACAAAAATCACATACCGTCAATACAAAACGGTGGAAGTCCACTGAATACACAGGACGAGTATGATAAGAATGGATAACGTGACACGGTTGCCAGTCATCTGCAACGAAATTACAGTATAAGCTGGGAAAAAAACGAACCTGCGATAAGAGGGTTCTTCAATTGATAATCAAGAACCATGTGACTTTTACGAAACAAACCATGCGATAAGGCAGTGTCAAGAGGACCGAGCTTCATAAACGCACTTGAACATCCAACATTATGCTGCAAAGCACGCAAGTGATCCAAATAATCACCAGCTTTGACACCTGAAATATTATAAAATCAAAAAATAAAACTGTAAACAAACGAAAATAACACACACAATACTCACTCTTGAAAACAGATACCGAACAATCAGCAGAACTGGCGGCGAACCTTGTACCGTTAACGTCAAAGGAAACACACCACACAGTGGAACTGTTTATGCTGATAGTTTGGATACAGACCCTGAAAATAATAAAAAACACAAACAAACAATCTACCAATCCTGACGAACTAAACCCCAAAGACGGATGGTGTTGTCATAAGAAGCACTCGCTAACAAAAGAGCTTTTGGACTCCAACATACGCATTTAACATCTGAAAAAATACATAGAGACATATTCAACATAAACCTTACCTTGGGAATGGTCAGTTAATATAGCAGTACAATAAAACTCAAGAGACCCTTTAACACCACCATTGGGCAAACGAACGATATCATAGCTCTCGTCGTCAACAACGCCCTGCGATCGTTGATGGATCCATATTGTCTTGTCACGGCCACAGGTCGCCACATACGTAGTAGTACAGTCAAATGCTGCGCACTTAACCTCGTTCTCATGACCCTCCAACACGCAAACACAGACCCATTTGTGATTACCACTAACCACAGTAGAAAAAATATGGTCAGAAGCAGATTCAGATGATGAGGAAACCATGGGCAATTCGTCACGATGCTGACGTGACCATATAGTTGCTGTGCCCTCAAAGGACGCACAAATCAGATACTCGCCGTCAACACTGAACCGTACATTGCGCACCGTCTTCTTGAAGTAGTTGTCAATAACAGCCTAAAACGACAATGATACGAATATAGAATGGGCAGCAGTTGTAGTAGGAATAGCGAGTTTTAACAGGAGCAACACATACCTCCAAAACGATCTCATAATCGGAACAACAATCGGCATCATATGAAGCACATGGTTGCGATAGTGATGTAACCTTTTCTTTCCTACGATTTACGCGCCATATACGCACGCTGCAATCCGAACTGCTAGTAGCGAAAACGTCGTCAACAGGGCTCCAGCATACTGACCATATACGCTCACTGTGACCCTTCACGCAACCTATATGTTGCACCTCCATTACGCTGAAAAACAGCGTGTCTGATATTATTACAGACCACGACGGCTAACGCTAGTCAACAAAAATCAGGCTTCGACGAAACTCACGGAAGGCAACACAAAGATCCCTATTGCGATAATAATCCACGCTCTATGATCGCAATATATACATATTTTGTGTGTTATTTTATAACGAATTAATTAATGATAATATCATTTAATCGGACTTCCACAACGGTCGCATCTAGCCATATAATACCGTATTAAACGCACATCAGGAGCAGACAAAAGACAGATGTGTTACCTTAAACATATCGATACGGTATAATACAACCATTTCAAAACCGGAAAACCGGTTATATTCCCAAGTAGATGTGCGAAGCCAATTATGTACGTCTGCCAGGAATGTAACTCGAACTTCAAAGATGGTAGCAATCTAAGGAGACATAAACGAGCATTACACACAAAAGAGGTAGGTAACAACAACAGACACATAATATCTGTAGAAGCCGTACAAATGCCAAAGGTGCGAAAAACAATTTGCAAGATCAGACCATCTCAAACGACATAACGACAGACATGACAAACAACCAGCAAAACTACTATGCGGATTTGATGATTGCAAACGAACATTCGCAACGGAAGATAAACTAGAACAACATAGGGAATTACATAAAAAAAAGGCTCAAGAAAGTGTTATATATGTTAAAGGACGACTAGTAAGGAAACATATAGAAGATAATAAAACACTTCTAAAATGCCCATTTGAAGGATGTGACAAGCTATACAGCTCATATCCAGGAATCGCAAAACATATCGATTGGCATGATGACGACACGAAACTGGGCAAGCAACATAACACAAAAAAATACAGAAACCGACCAAATGAAAACAACAAATATCATTGCAAAGTATGCACAAAAATATTCAAAAACAAAAGACATGCTGCACGGTACAGGGCTACGGTACATACGACTCGTAATAGGATTAACACAGACCTAGACAGACATTGCTCTGGATTCCCCTGCCCATACGAACATTGCAACAAAATATTCTCAACGGTATGTTATACACGTCGAACAATGCATTGGTTGGATATAAAAATGATATGTATCAGTAAATGATGTCTCCTAGCCGGGAGCATACAAACCAGAGGGCAACACAGACAAACTTCAAGCCCAGATTGCCTAACATCAACATGCGTGTACAATTATTGATGTAAAAGTGGTGGTACGTGATAATTGGTCTTTTCATAAGAGTCAAGAAATGGCAATGATAAACTAAATAACCAGTGTTAACGTTATAACGAATGCGCAGCGTAGCAACGCAACAGCACATGTACAGAAAGTACATGAAAATCTCAGACCATACACATGTCAAGAGTGCAAGGGGACATTCAGGTGGCGAACAACGCTCCTCAAACACAAATGCCCTAGCCGCGGCTCAAAAATGGGTTTGCGATCTTCTCCGATCCTTCAACCGGATGGATGACGGTTACCTATGCATATTTTGAGCTCGAAAAAAACACATTTGTCATTTAAAGGTTAAATATGAAGTACAACGCAAATAACAATATATAACTATAACATAACTACACTTACCGAGGTACCACGTGCCACAAGCAACCCTAAATGACGTGTCTTTTCAGTCATCCTGTCTGGATCGTTAGGATCTGATAACAATATAGTAAATCGAGAAGTAACGTACCGCGTAAGAACTCTTCGGTCTCATCAAGTACCAGATTCGACATCACATCATGACCTTTCAATACGCCCTGAACTTCACACATCATAATAATAATACAAATATTAACATACCCTCACGACCGCCACTGAATTTCACGTAAACCTTCTTGTTCAAGTAACCATCTAGCTTAATCACGCTCTTCACGTCCCGAAAACTTTTGCTAGGCGCTGTCATTGTGAAATAATTAACATATTATAACGTATGTTATGACCGCAAAAAACTAGAAATTAAGCAAATTGAAAATTGCCCGATTACACACTACCTAACTTGCATCGGTATTATTAGAACCCGAATTGCCAACTTTTAGCTCAGATAATGCGAGTTCTAAACGCTTCAACTTATTAGTAAGCGCATCCACGCTAGACGACTATAAAAACAATCAGAAACGAAAAAAACAACGAGTCCATACCTTTGAAGGAAGGAGCAATGGATCCTCAACAGCAACGTTAGCTGATTCAGCAGCTCGCAGACGCTGTCTAGTACGACGTATTCTAAGCTGATATAAAACAAAAAACAAAGATATACTTACGCATTAATCAGCTTTTTCGCAGTAGCAGCTGTCTCCCCTGGAGTAACTGTAGAAGAAGTCTTATTAGACTCAGAGGTAGATGATAATACACTCCCAATGTTAGATTCAGAAGTGACTGCGACCTTTATATCCTTATTTGCCCTTGACAGCCTCGACCTTCCCGAACCATCACTGTCTAATACAACATCGGAACCCGTTGCAACAGACCGATGTTGAGAATCCTTCCGCGAAACACCTTCCAAACGACTCTCGGATGGACCAGCTGTAGTCTCTAATGTAGAAGCCTGTGCCAGATGTGGCTCACGTCGAAAACGAGGTACGTATGACGCGCGCTCGTCCTATAGAATTAATTTCAAACACAACAACCAACACACCTGAGGGATATAACCGGAACGAACACGTATAGCACGACGAAAAGTTCCATCCTTCCGTTGAGAACCTTTTATAAAAACATCGCCAGTATTAGGATCGACTACATATTTCTCACCGTGATCTGACTGAAAGGTACCAGATGTACCCAAACGAAGGCCACCGAGAGATTCCACAAGATCATCAACACTCATAGAGACACTACAAAACATGAAAAAATGTGCAAACCAATAACCGAAATAATGTCACTCAGACATACGCTACACGACAAAGAGCGACACTACCGTCAAACTGGTACAGAGATGTGCCACAAAGGAAACGTAAAATGACTTTTAAAGCTGTTGTAAGTTACACTATAAGGTGACAGTATAAGTCTGTTGTGCAACCAAGGATAATTAGCAGTTGGACACATCAAAGAGGCGTACCGTTAAAACACTTTTAGGTACACTCCTAAGAAAGTGTCATACAATAAAGTAACAATGGAATCCGGTGGATAACGAAAAGTTGTTACGAGGACCACTTGGACCTTATGCTGTGTACACTAGTGCAACAAGCACAGAAACGGGGGAAACGAGATACCCCTGAAGTAGTGAACGGCACCCACTCAGCCATTAATACGTTCATAGGTCAAGAGATGTAAACGGGAGCTGCAATTATACGACAAAAACAAAGCAAATCGAATCTGCGGATCCTTACGATGTAGTACAGATTGCAGCACTATAAGACAGTATTGGCACTAGAAAATAAACAATATAACGCTAAGATAAGAAAAATGCGCTACACAAAACTGTATATGGAACAACGTACTCAAAGTAGAGGACGAGACCTGATAATGCAATAGATGATACGATTGTCACATATAAGCACTGTATATCAAAGAAATACTATCTAATTGCATTGTTATTGGACAGGACAAACCCATAACTACCAGAAAAGTGACATAGACCGCCACGCGATATGACGAGAATATATGGCAATAACTCTATACATAAAAAAAGATCTAACATAAACGCATAGCAAGATTAGATGTCACAATCCATAGAAAGGAAAAAATGATGAAACGAAGAATATATACTGCAAATTAATCAACGACGCGAGTTCTACCTGCTACACTGTGGTGGGCTTGTGTGGTACTCGCGTGTCCGGAGCTATTTTGACACCTTATAACCAAGAGACGCAACAAACACATGTTACGTTTCGAGTCAGTAGATATTTTATCACTATATCGCTGAAACAAATACACGCCTATCACAAGGCGGGCAATGGTGAACAATACTATAGCGCTCTGTCACGAACAAGCGGTATCTCCGCAGACGGTTAGGGAAGCGAAAGGAAAACGGATTCAGCAGGATAGAGAATTACATATCAACATTTGATGGAGCTTACACAGGCTGAGACAGGATACATCGATGAAGACAGACATCGTAAAGAAACAAACCATTTTAAATCCGACGTTCTGACGGATAACACGACTATCAACAACGATTTTTAAACAAACAAAAGCTATATGGAATGTTGAACAACGCTGACAATATCGGTCACGCAAATTTGTTGACACAGATTACGACAGTACTCAATTGCCATGCGTAGGATGCGGGTGACAACCACACGCTCCTTACAAAAAAACAACAATTACCGCAATTAACTCGTAAAAGGCATATGCCAAAACGGATAGACACCGGATACTGGTGGAATGTTGGATGGGACGCTTTATGATACAACTGGCTTCCGCCTCAATCTCGCATCCAGAATAGTGGGTGAGCAGTGCATAACACCAACACTGGACAACTACTGAATGTAGTACAGAACTACCCTTGCAAAAGGCGGACACTCCTTAACATACCAAGTGAGGCCCACTGAAATATTTACAAGGATAACAATTCATAACTCAAAGGAATGCTAACTCGGACGCACACAAGACAACAAGAAATAAATTAGAGAAACAAAACCATTGTCATCTTCAACATAAGATATTACATAAAAATAACAAAATGTCGCTAGTCAACATACCTCGCTATTGCGAGGATCCCAATTACAGGTACAAAATGCCAAAGCTGCAGTCGAGAATTGAAGGCCGTGGAAATGGAATCAAAACCAATATATCCAATATGGGTGATATTGCCAGGGCCCTCAAACGACCTCCGACATACACAACCAAATTCTTCGGATGCGAGCTAGGCGCAATGTCCAAGTTTGAAGAAGCCGAAGAAAAGGCACTGATCAACGGAGCTCATACGGAACGCGCATTGACACAAATTCTAGACAAGTTTATTGAAATGTACGTACTATGCTCAGAGTGCCACTTGCCAGAAATTGAAGTACTAGTAAGGAAGGGAGCGCTATGTTCCAGGTGCAACGCCTGTGGGCACAAAGGGACATTGGACAACACACACAAAGCTGCGAGCTATATGCTCAAAAATCCAGCATGCCTTACAGAAATGTCGAAGCATTCGGGAAGGACCAAAAAGGAAGTCACAAAGGATGCGTCGCCAGAAAAGGAAAAGGATAAAGATAAAGAAAAGGATAGGAAGAAAAAAGATAAAAAAGAAAGGAAAAAACGTGTATCAGAAGAAGGACAAGAGTTGGTCAATGGGACAGATGCTATTCTTCAGTCAGTTGAAATGGAAAAACTCACCATCGAAAGCCCAGAGATACAAGATGTTGTAGACAGACTAACCGCATCACTAGGTGCAGGAAAGTTCGCTAAACCCGCGGATTTCGCCGAAGAACTACATATGCTACAGCTCTCACAGGATTTCGATAACGTGTGCAGGTTCTACGTTGCACTTTGTGCAATATTCAGTGACAAATTCGATGTCGCCGTGCTAGAGGAAAAAATCTCTATGCTAAAGCCGTTGCTAGAGTATGCAATGCCACCCAAAGATATACTCACCGCAATGGCTGTATTTGTAGTCAAACTGCACCCAGAACAGCTGGAGGAGTATCCGTATATATGCCGTGCCCTGTACGCGAACGACCTGGCGGAAGGCGGCGACTTCTGTCGTTTCTACGCTAAAAATGCGAGGTTTGATGGCATTCTAGCAGACGCTTTCCTACGTACAAAAGAAAAGGCGGAACCATTCGTTTCGTGGTTGCAGGAAGACGATGATGACGAAACGGAAGACACAGATGACTGAGTGGCCATTAGGCATGGAATACCGTAATATCATAATGTCGTTGACCTTATCTTACACTTATAACCAATTAATCAGTTAGTGGTATTGTGTCTAAGACCAGTTTGTCCTCTGTTTTCTATAAGTCGACGGTGGTAGCCGCGCCGCTCACACCACAGCTTAAAGCTTCACACATTACTAATTGTAAGTCATAGCAATTATCACACCTGATGAAAGCTGGAATCAAAGGCAACGTACGGCCAGCGATGGCGACGTTGCCGGTTCCCCCACTCTATGTAGCACCTGCGTAATAGTGCTCACTAAATCATATTAGCGAGACGCGCAACTCAATTTTTCAAAGGCGATAGTTTAAAAGGTAGGTAGTCTTGCTTGAACGACCCGGTGGACCGTGGCCTTCGACATGGTCGCGGACATTGCGGATTCCACGAGCACTGGGATGACATTTATATGTTTACACCGTGATATTTTGCCGAAATAATACCCTGTTAATATCGCTGTTGCGTGGGCCGTTATGAGCGCCAGGAGGAATTAGCAATGTGAAGCGTAGTAGCCGAGCTGCATTCCGACACCATGATGTCTATATTTTTCAATCGTTTCAGTAGATAGTGTCAATGTTATGTGGTTACACGTTCTTGTGAGTTCGTGAATTCATAATATATATCATCCATCCCATTTACCTATACGTGTGGTTCTTACGGGTTAGATTTGGATGTCGGAATGTCAAGATCGCTGACGGTCTTCCACATAGAATGACTGCCCAAGTAGTGTAATTTTGTCTGCATGTATCAAAACTGTATTATGTGAGGCACCTTTTGTTACTTGTAAATCTCCTTGGCTCATGTTGTTGCAGACAAGATGTCTGAAGAAGGGAAACCTGAGGCCGTTGAGTCTGTCACCGCCCCTGAAGAACCTCTACAGAGGTTGTTGCAGTTGGCCATGGCAAATGGATGCCTGCTGCGCGGCATCCATCAGGTGACAAAAGCACTGGATGCCAAAAGGGTCAAAGCATGTGTAGTATCCACGCAAACCAGTGAGGAAGGCTACTTGAAGCTTATCCAAGCTCTGTGCAAGGAACACAACGTACCTTGCATCGAAACGGAACATGACTCCGAGAAAATCGGACAGTGGGCAGGTCTATGCAAATACGACATTGAAGGTGTTCCACGTCACATAGTAGGCGCAACCAGTGTAGCCATCACCACCTTCGACGAAAAATCTGAGACAGCAGATGAAATGTTGAAGCTTATTAAGTCGTTGGCGTAAAAAACCTTTTGTTAATCGGTTTTAGTGGTTGCATATGTCCTTTGAATTCATAATGTAGACGGTATACCGCTCAAATGCGTAGCTACGATGCTAATTGGTAACTGTTGAGCGGGATATGCTGAGTGTTGCAGGTACCGTCAGCAGAGGCATAATGTCCTTTCATTATTGGAACGTGAGGTGGTCACCGTTAACTACGATTCATGTTTATTGCCAGATGTCCCCGCCGAAAACCTCGAAACGATGACAAATAAAACGTATGGATGTGTGAAAGGTGTGATTGTATCCGATAATACAAATCTCTTTAATGCTATGAACCACGCACTACAAACATTGCTATGGAGCCAGTCGAAGGAAAAATGAGATAGCTCATATGAAATAATTGTCAATCGCACACAATCTGTCATGTTGAATAAGTTTATCTAATTATTATTGTAAAGTGTAGATGTTGGATGTTTCAACAGCGGAAGAGTGAAATGGGTTACGGTGTTACACAAAGTTAATTCACTGCTACCGTGATATTCTCAAAAACTAATTTAATGTTCACATGCTTCAGTACCAGCAGTCTCATAAGAATATAGCCGTAAGCAACGATACCGATGTAGCAGGTGCAGCTGGAATTTTCTACTCCGGCATTAACTAATAAAAATGTGAATATTCCCCCTCGACGATTTTAAGGATAATATTAATCTTTCAGACTTTGATAGGTAATCAACAACATTGGTAAAATGACAATTAGTTTTTCCAAAACAAAGACTGCAATATGCGCACTGGCAATAATAACATCCGTATACCCAATAAATAGTGTTACTTTGGATATCAGCAAAACAGAGTTTCCAGCATGTATCGATATTTTTGAGGGAACGTTCAAAAATGGCGGTGTATACAGGATGTTTCACTCAAACGGTCCCCCAATTGCCCATGTCACATACGGAAAGGTTCTCTTGGGTCCATTAACAAATGGCAAAATTCCTATAAGAGATATATATGTGCAACATTATAAACGCGGTGATCGCTCGATTGTCGCCATTAGTCATATGAACGCCATCAGGAAGAGAGTGGTGACCACAAGATTTTATGCAACAAATGGGACGGTATGCAGAACGACAAATATGGATGTCAAAGAGGAATTCGTAGGGAATCACATATTAGTACCAGTTAATATATATGCAGAAAAGGTACATCCATTCATAGGTGCAGCATATACGGACGGGCAATGCCAGACCAAGCAGTGGTCAGTACTTTCACCCAGGGCTAAATGTAACCGTCATGACGACATGGGGTGTATTCGATTTCGTATGGAATCCGTCTTCATAAGCCCTGTTATCAACATAGATCAACAATTTCGCGATCACAACAGCCCGCCGCCATCACTCAGTTCACATAGCACTACGGTTCAGGTTGCACCTGAAGGAGACGCAGTAACCACCTGGATCAAAAATGGGAGTCACCGCGTGAGCTATCTTATAAAATTGCCTCCCACTGAAAACGCCATTTTTAGGCCACGACAGATAATAGACCCTTTGCACAATCTCCCGAAACATGTTACACCAACTTCTCATATTTTGAAACACATTAATATAAACGTAGACATCTCTAGCATCGAGACTAACGTGCCAGAGATTGTTATTCTGGCTAACCTTAGGCGTGGCGATTGGTTGTATACACAGTACAGCTTTACTCCAATAATCGACTTGCGCTATATACGTGTCAAGGTTCTAAATTCGGAGCATAGCTGCGAGCTATACGAGACGGATGGCGAAGCCTTCGTGACACATGTCGAAGTATTCGATCATGTCAAAAGTGGCTTGCAATACGTGGTAGTAAACATCACAACGCCAGGTAGAGATAGAGTGCTGATCGGTCCCCAATTTGAAAACATCAAAAGGGTCTATAAACGCATCTATGGGGAGGAAGGTGTGGTCTATTTTGATATTAACCAAGTCTGGCTGGAGCCGTATCTAGACATGCTTTATAACATCCCGATAGGCCCGGGCGTTCATAAACAGGATGCCCATGACATCATGATGGACACACTTTTAATTTGATTCTTGTCAGTGGTTTATTATTTTTTGGTTCGTGGACAATGAGCTCCTCTCGACACCCGTGTTGTGCATGGGATCTACTATGAGATTGGTAGTCCACGTACAGTGTACACAATTCCATATTATCACTGTTTTTAGACATATATGAAAGAATAGAAAACTACTTGGGTTATGTAAGCCACATATTCTTGTACCGTTCTTAGGAAAGTTAACATTGTAATGTGTATACTGCTTATGGTGTGATTTTTATGCCATGCCCTTTATATTCTACGTTAACACGCTTGGTGTTATAGGTGCTATTAACCCGCGAAACAACTCTACTGACCACTTAGTAACAGATATAATGCTGCAATTTTAAGTGGAAACGACCACGGTGTATGGCGCTTCAAAAAAATCCTATTATTGTATGAGGTTGGAATGAATCAGCTGTATCTCGAATGTGTTATTGTCTATTCGTTTTTTCGGGCTGTCAGCATTCTGACGATGATTTTTTGTACTTATTTGATAAGTTAATTAAGTTCTTAGAAGAATAAAATAGTGGCTACATTACTACATTCATTTTACTCGTCGACGTACAAGTTATTCCTTCGCCATACGCTCTTCTACGATAACAACTCAAAATGGAAAGGAACTGAGATAGATATTGAAAACGAAGTCCCGTTCTGTCGCGTATTGTTTAAGGTCGCGATAAAAAGAAGTGATTCGAGGCAAGCATTGGCACGGAGGTTGCATCACAAAATCGTGTGCATAGGGCTTCACTGCTGGCCCGCATCACTCCTCCAACTGAAAGCGTGTTATGCGAATGTGGATTTACGAAGGTTAGAAGATATGGCTTGGTCTATAGGCCACTAAAGGCGTCAAAGTGTTGGTTGCTTCGGCGGTGAAAAATTATTTGAGCCTCTAGGAATTGTAGTCGTTAGCAACACCTTTAATAACAACTCCTGATGTATCAACTCGTCGTACTAAAAAGGTATGCAGATGTAGCAATTCTATTTGTGCACATTGCCTATCATGTAACTGAAGCAACGATTCTAAGATTGTGACGTAGGGGAACAAGGTAGTGTGAAAGGCCATGAATTGTCGTTAACCTATGTAGTAACGCTGCTAAGTCTTCTATCCTGCTCAACTATACTGGTTGCTGCTCCACTTACTTTCTAATATCGCGATGATAAGTTGCTATTCGTTTAAAGTACAGGCATGTGGGGAAGAGGGGTAACGGTGTCTAGGGAATGGGTGGTACACCGACCGTAGGATAGAGTTAAGTGAATCAATTAACAATGCGATGCGCTATGGTCTGAAGGTTCAAAGTAATGACCTAACACACTGCCGATGTGTTAGGCTCTCTACATCAGTATGCGACTGCGGCTTTGGGTAGCAATGAAGCTGCGTGTTGCATTCCGGCGATATCATGATATTATAGGAGGATAAAGGACTTCATTATGAATATTAAGATGATGGCCAAGATTCGTAAGTCGTCAGTAGTGTCATCTACACTTGTGAGTCTCTTCACTTTGGTGACAATGCCAATTAATGGAGAGTGTCGAAATCGATGATGGTATGACGATGGACAAGCTGCTTACCGTATTAAGGGAAACAAAATGGTTTGAAAAACTAAACAGCCAAAAAAAAATCTATAGCCTACTGGGACTAATTCTGGTTGCATCCGTACTAATTGCCACAGCTGTTGGCGTATCAGCTGGGGAAAAATATGTTGTCGCTATCTTAGGGCCAGTGTTGGCATTTTTGCTGGTCTCATGGCTCTGTTCGTTGCAGCATCTAGGACCTTCGGATATGAAATTGACCAAATATCAAATTTTGGCGGCTGTAACTGTTGTTTTGGTGGTGATCGGACTCGTGGCATTAGTGAGTATATGCGGTCTCACGATCAGCGCCGTGACGAGCAAGACAGACGATAAGCTATCACCGTACGCAGTGGGAACCGTCGCATTCGTTGTATATTCCTGGTACGCAGCACAAACGCATCCGTGTACGATGCTCTTTGAATACATCTTTGGTGTTGCGGCTGTGCTCCTGTTATCAGGTTGCGTCGGCCTCTCAGTTCTCCATTTCACATATGAGAATCACGTGCAAAAATCTTCTGCTATCGTGGCACCCGGAACACTGGCCGCAATTAACGTCATCCTGCTAGTCGCCGTTCTCTACTTCGCGCACTGTATAGGGTTGTTGGATATCACCTTCTTCAAGAAATACAGGGGTTTAACTTTGGGGTCGTGTACAGCCGCGTTTGCACTTATAGGTGTGGTTGTCGTGGTGAAAAATGTGTATAAATGCGATGACGAAGGTTTCGAGACATACTTCTTCACTATTTTAATCGGCATGGCTGTCTTTGTAGCTGCGGCTTACTAATACTATACCTTCTATAAGTCAGCCCCGGATACTGCAAGTCTACGTAGTTCACTTGTATCGCAATAAAAAGGTGTCACTTCTAATGTAGTTCATATTTTGCGTGGCACCTTCATGGTCCTCAACATGCTTTAGTCGTGTCAGCTGTAATAAGCTTTATCGTAATTATATGTTCTATTTCATAATTTTAAAGTGACGTCTAACTGTCACACATCTTAATGGTGCTCTTTTGCGGTTCTATACATTAACCTGTATACCGAGGTATGAATCGTCATCAACAGAGAGGACAATTAATGATTAGATATCTCATAACAACCAATTTATTATTGCTATACCAACTACTTATATTGTAAAAT